TTGTGCTCTTTATGGTTTTTCATTTTTAAAGGATACACTCTTATTATGGAAGCACGATTTATTTAAATAGGTACATTGAGACTTTTTTTTTTTAAATTTTCTGATACTTTAGGAAGAAGTTAAATCTTATCAGTTTAATTGTTATAAGGACAGCGATGTCTCATAACAAGGTGTGACTTTTAGGTAGCACTGTTTTTGTTCAGTCTTTTTAAATCCATTTTTATTTGTTTAAAAACATTAAAACTTTTAGAAAAAAAAGCATTAAGAAAAAGCCTATCAGTGATATGGGCAATGTGTAAATAAGTAAATATAATATTTCATCCTTTATTTTTCAGGTAAATGGTCATGCTGTTACAAGTATAGTTTGTGTGCATAAATAATATTTCTGAATTAAATTATTTAATATTTGACTGATTTCAATAACTGAAAAATAAAAAACGTGTTGCATTGCTTGTGAGAACTTGAGCTGTTTTCTCTACTAGTTAATTGAAGAAAAAATGTGTAACACTAAGATGAACTTGCTTCCCTTGTTATTTCATCAATTTTGCTAAACTTTGTAATGTACATTCTTAGCATATAACTGAACACATCTTAAAAATTGTGCTTACACCTGATTATAATGTATATATTTAATGGTAGATGTTTGTGATTCTTTTTTAAAGAAATACTTTTCTCAAGCTCCCATTACTATTTGTGGTTGTATTCTTTCACTAATCATTAGTTAAGATTGTGCTAATCTCCCCTGGGAAACTAAGACAGCTATTTTAAACACAGTATATTAGAATTTTCCTAGCATCTCTGAATTTCTGTATTGTCTAAATATTACTGTATGATTATATAAAGCAGGTATGTCAAGTGTATAGCCCTGGTATATAATTCAGGAATGCTTTATAACCATCAGAAGCCATTATCTGCACTACATATATGATCAGTATAGACAGCAATAAAATGTTAAGATCATTTTTAAGAAGTCCCATCATTATTCTTAAAAGTCTTTCTTGAACCATCTATCTAGTATTATTGCCAGTAGTAACCAATTTAAGAAGTCATTATTTGTGCTGTAGTTAAGAGAGAAAATAAAACAAAATAGGTAGAGATTGACATGCCCTTCAAATTTGAGTTCATTTGATAAAGCAAAATTTTAGAAATAACATTTTGAATTTGCAACATAGGCCACATTTGCTGATGAGAACAGATACTATACTTGGTCTTAACTATACCTGATATTAGCCAAACGGCTGAGAAGTGATGTGCGGGCCACATTTAAATAATATAACCATAGTGTTTTGAAGGAGGAGCTACAGTTTTGCGTTGAACAAAGTGAAACTGTTATTGCCATTTAAATTTTAAATGTAAACTTGTTTCATAAGAAAACATAGCATTTTAAATGACCATTGTAGAAAATGGCTTGCAAAACTTAGCTGAAGCTCATGAACTAATATTGCTAAGAGAAGGACTTTTTATGTAACATTGGGATACTTTTAAATTGGCAAAGTGGTAACAGGGAAGACAGATGTATTCTTCCTAAAAGAATAAAGAATGAAAAGGACTAATGATGAATAAGAATGAAATTGTATCCTGATTTTATTTTTTTTTTGAGACAGCCTCGCTCTGTCTGGAGTGCAGTGGTGCGATCTCAGCTCACTGCAACCTCTGCTTCCCAGGTTCAAGCAATTCTCTGCCTCAGCCTCCTAAGTAGCTTGGGTTTACAGGTACCCACCACGACACCCAGCCAAGTTTTGTAGTTTTCATAGAGATGGGGTCTCACCATCTTGGCCAGCATGGTCTGGAACTCCTGACCTCATGATCCACCTGCCTTGGCCTCCCAACGATTACAGGCATGAGCTACCATGGCTGGCCAAAACATGCTTTTAAAAAGACATGGACAATGTATGTTCTTAGGTCTGCCAATCAGGTTAAGTTTTTGACATTAATGGAAAAATTCATTAGTCAAATATGGTTTCACTCAAAGCAAAATAATTGTATTTGTTGGGAAATGAGGCATCATCACAACTTGGTGGCAATATTACCAAAAATTTAGATTGTTACGAATGAATAAAGATAGGTAGGTAAGTCTAAACAACTAAAATTAGAAACAATAAATGTCACATGGAAAAGTCATTTTCATGTCCAACTTTAAGTTCTACTTTTAAAAAAGAGCATACATTATTAGTAGCACAATCTAGCATAATCTCCTATCTCACAAGTTTGTAGTAAAGGAAAGAATCCTGCTGATCAATAGAAGGAAAAGTGTAAGCCGATTTAAAACTTAAGAATATAAATTCCCTAAACAGGCCTTTCAGCATGTTCTTCCTATAAGTTTCTGAAAGAATCTTTCTGGAAATGAAGCAGTGGGTCTTTTTTGTTTTTTTGAGACAGCGTCTTGCTGTTGCCAGGCTGGAGTGCACTAGCATGATCTTGGCTCACTGCAACCTCTGCCTTTCAGGTTCAAGTGATTCTCCTGCCTCAGCCTCCCAAATGCTGGGTCTACAGGCACTTGCCACCATGCCCAGCTAATTTTTGTATTTTTAGTACACACAGGGTTTTACCATGTTGGCCAGGATGGTCTCATATCTCTTGACCTTGTGATCTGATCTGCCTGCCTCAGCCTCCCAAAGTGCTGGGATTACAGATGTCAACACTCCCAGCCACAGTGAGTCTTAATAGTTATGAAGTAAGTTACAAGGGCGAGAGAAAAAATCAGTATAAGAATTTGCACTCATCTTGTTTTACTGCTCCAATTTCTACTAATCTCTATTATTAGATACCAAAATTTTTACGTATATTTCTTAATGGTATATTTACTAAAGATATAACTTGAGGACAGAAACAATTGTTTACCTATGTTAGAAAAATAATCTGAAACAGTAAATGAACCTGCATATAAAACCAAGGATTCAGATATCCACTTATTCTGATAGTTTATTTGAAAGAATATTTCATAATTATTAAGGAATATAAAACTTTGACTAAAGTGACTTCCTGTTTATTGAGGCTTACTAAACCCCACATATATTTTTTTCTATACATACATATCTGTGCTAAAGTTTAATTTATAAATTAGGAATAGTAAGAGATTAACAACAATAAAATAGAACAACTATAGCAGTATTCTGTACTTAAAGTCATGTGAATGTGATCTTGCTGTCTGACAATACTGCATTGTACTCACCTAGTTTTGGATTGTGGTCGACAGTAGAAAGAAAACCATGGGAAGAGGGGGTGGGGGAGATTACTATAATTATTTAATACTTAATTTAGGCTCATTACAAATTACCTTTAATGAGTGTTTGCCTGAATTTAGTCTATTTCAATTTATCACCTCCCAGGATTAGAAATATTGCAAGAAAAATCAAAGGTAATTAAAAAAAAATAGCCTTTAATGAAAAATACAAAAATACTGTATATTTGAAACATGATCTGCATATTCAGCAAGTCATAAAATAATCTGTTTAATATTGCATTTTTATTTGCAAGTACATTAAAGCAAATCTTATTTTATTTCACAGTAATATTTATGATGCTGACATCCTCATAGGGCTTATCTGTTTTGGGATTGACTTTGACATTGGAGATCCTCTGCACAACTTCCATTCCTTTAGTCACTCGTCCAAATACTGTGTGCTTATTATCAAGCCAAGGCTGTGTTGGATGACAAATGGAAAATGTTGATAAATCCCAATAAATTATACCCTCCGGTTGAGCAAATTAAAGAGAATTTAAGTTTACCCTTCCCTTTAGTATATACTTAAAAAGAAGTGAGATAATTTCTTAACAATAAAAATGTTGCAGCTTTTAAAAGTTATTTCCAGTTTGTTAAAAAATATATAGAAGCATAGTATAATGTTTCAATATCTACATCTTTCAGACCAAAGGGAACTGGAAGATCTTTCCTAAAGGTAAGTTACTTCACATGGCTTACACAATTGTGGCTAAGTCTTTAAAAGGTCTCTGCAGGACTCTTACCTGAAAAATTTATTCAGAGGCAGTTTGAATAGTTTAAGCAGCACATGCTTTGGTATGAGACAGATGGGAGTTCAAATGCTAGCTTGGCTACTTACTTGACCTTTTGGCAAGTTAATCATGTCTCGATGTTTCCTCATCTATTACTGAAAACTGGGGATACTGATACTAGAAGTACTGTCAATGAGACTATGTTCCTGGCATATGGTAGTTACATATATTTTTTTCCTTTATTCATCACTTAGTGCTTAATTCCAAAACAAAAAGTAGGTAATTTTTATAATTTTGTGTTATTGTATGGCAATCGAGCTAGGGGACCTTACACTATATTTCATCAAATCTAAAATGCCATTTATTATGAGTTGTATTCTGATTTCAGACATAATAAAATGTGGGTGAAACTGTATTAAAATTGTGAATTCATATACTGTAATCGCTGTATTCTAAAGATGAGGAAATGGGCCCAGAGAGGTGTAATAATCAGTAGAGGCAAAGTTGAGATTGAAACTCAAGTATTTTGAATCACACTCCATTGTACTTCTTGCTATAATGGAAGTATTATTTTACCATTTCTAAACTGATTTGTCGCATAGTTTTATATTTTCTTCTCTAGATCATTTTCATTTTTGTATTCTGGCCGATGATATAAATAATGCAGAAAATACAGAATAATGCAGCTCTTTCTTCCACTGAGTTCACTCTCTTACATCATAACCTGTCAATATGTGCTTTATAAACAATGTTGTTGCACTTACCGTTGGTACTACAGTTATGAAAAACTGGGATCCATTAGTATTTGATCCTGCGTTAGCCATGCTGAGTGTGTATGGTCTGTCATGTCGTAATGTTGAATGAAATTCATCTTCAAATTCTCCTCCCCATATGCTTTCTCCTCCCATACCAGTACCTGTTGGATCTCCTGTCTGAATCATGAAGCCCTTAACAGAAAGTAAACAAAAACATTACACTGTCCTTTTCTATATATGTACGCTTTGAAGTTTTATTACTGCCAAGAGTCCTTTGTATTCAGTGTAATATTAACAGTCTTTATAGTGATTTGATTAAACCTTTACACTTAAATTTTGATGATGTATTTCCATTGCTCAACCATCACCTTGATTGAAACATAAATACAAAGGTCATCTTCTCATTTATAGACATGTTCTATCTTTCCCAATAACCAAAATAAAGCCAGTTAATACTATAAATTTCAGGATCTGTATGATTTCCTGGAAAGCCTTTTTGCTAATTCCTTTAGCATCCTGAGATCTGACTTTTCGTCCTGCCATTGCTGACCTGCCAGTAACCAAGAACTGTATTTCTGCCCCATACACTTTATGGAGAGCTGCTCAACAAAATTCAGGGACTGAGTTCTCTCTCCTCCTCTGGTATATTGCTGGTTCTCACAGATCAGATAGCATTGTGGCTCTTCTATGATTGAAAAATCCTATCTTCTAGATCCAGACCCTGTCTAGCCACTACAAACAGGTTACCTAGGTTACTAGTGTTATCTCAACATGACCCTTTATTCATTATCTTACCCTTTACTTTAGCTGTTGACAAAATATCGCTTCAGTGTTTCTAAACAGGTAGTCATGCCACTATTCCTGTTGATTCTAGATGCTGACATTCATGACCATCCAGTCTTTCTTTGGCTTCCATAGTATATTTTTCCTGTTCTTTTCCACTAAATTGATAAGTGTGAGAGAAGATTCCTTGGGCTTAAATCTCTTGCTATGTAATAATATTCCTTAAATCACATGAAATTTGTGTGACTTACCTTAATTATACGGTGAAATGTATGCCCATTATAATAACCATTTCTGCTGTGAACACAGAAGTTTTCCACTGTCTTAGGGCACCTATTAAGACATATATTACAAATATGAAACTATTCAGAGCATCTTAAAACAGTTTTCTTTGCAGTTCTGCTTCCTAATGATGTTTCAGTGTCTTCTGAATGTTTCAGAAGGACAGTCTTTTTTTCCATAACCTCTAATCTCAGGACAAGCATGAAGGGGCATGTAAGTAGTATATTCTTATTTAACTTAGTTATCTTTAGAACATGAGTGTTTAACTAATATTTGAGTTTGACAGATTTCAAGGTCATTTAGCAGTTAAAAAAAAACACAGCCATAGCACCTTAAAAATATGGTTTTTTTCTTCTTGAGAGACAGGGTCTCACTATATTGCCTAGGCTGATGTTGACCTCCTGTGCTCAAGAGATCCTCCCACCTCAGCCTCCTAAAGTGCTGGGATTACAGGCATGACCTACTGTACCCAGCCTAATCTCTTAAATTAGTTCACTGCAAATAGTATTATAGGTCTGCATACAGTATTATAGGTTAAGTTCCCGGGAAAGGTCATTTTCGTATAAAAACAATGTTGGCCAGGTGCGGTGGCTCACACCTGTAATCCCAGCACTTTGGGAGGCCAAGGCAGGTGAATCACCTGAGGTTGGGAGTTCGAGACCAGACTGACCAACATGGAGAAACCCTGTCTCTACTAAAAATACAAAATTAGTCAGGCGTGATGGTACACCCCTGTAATCCCAACTACTCGAGAGGCTGAGGTGGGAGAATGGCTTGAACCCAGGAGGTGGAGGCTGTGGTGAGCCAAGATCATGCCATTGCACTCCAGCCTGGGCAACAAGAGTGAAACTCCATCTTTAAAAAAAAAAAAGGCAATGTTATGCTCTAGCGACATATTCCTGGCCAAAAAGTTAATCACAAAAATGACATCTAAATTTATTCAACTTTAAATGATAATCACACTCAGAGTATGAAGGTTTCTCCATAATATTAACATTATGCAATTATTTCATATGGTCCATTATCATGTAATACTAAGTATGGAGGTAGGAATGGAAGAATCAAGAGACTCGTACCAAGCACATGGCTGAAGAGTACATGGGTTTTGAGCACTTCAAGTAAGAGTGTCCAGGAGTCTAGAACTGCCTAGTTATTTGTTGAGTACCAAAATATGGTACAAAACATTCATATTCAAAATATTAAATAAGAACTTTTAAGTAAAAGTATTATAAAAGATGTCATTTTCTGAGTCAAGAATGACCAGAAATATTCTATTGTATTTGACATTGTATGTTAATTTTATAATCTCTTAAAGAGTCTAGAAAACTATTCAGCTTTTTTTCAATTGACGCCTTTACGGTTTTGTCATTGTTTTTGCAGAAACAGGGTCTCATTCTGTTGCCCAGGTTGGAGTGCAGTGGTATGATTATAGCTAACTGCAGCCTCAAACTCCTGGCTTAAGAGATCTTTGACTTCAGCCTCCAATGTAGCTGGGAATATAGATGCATGCCACCATGCCCAGCTAATTAAAAAACATTTTTTTAAGAGATGGGGGGTCTTGTCGTGCTGCTCAGGCTAGTCTCAAACTCCTGGCATCCACTGATCTGCCTGTCTTAGCCTTCTGAGTAGCTGGGATTACAACTGCGTGCCACTGCACCCAGCTTGTAATTTACTTTTAAAACATGCAGCTACTAAAACTAGAGATAGTAGGTATCTAGCAACGGTTGGTAAGAAAACATAATCATCTTTCTCTTAAGGATTTGCTTTGAGGAAAGCAAAGCAATCCACAAAACCTAGAGTTCAGATCTACTGTTAACAGTAATAATGATACACATTTGTGTATCATTTTACAGTTTACACTCAGCACTTTCATAGCCAATATATTGTTTTCGTAATGAACCTATGAAGTATACATGCATAATAATTTCCCATTTTCTACCATAACAGTTATCAGAAAGCTTAGGAATAGATGTTTTTTTATCAAACATTACTTCAAAATCCCTTACGTCAAAGTAACAGGAATTTTAAGTTGCATGGTTTCTTCAGACATACACATTTACATTCTTAATTACATAAGCCAATAAAAATAGTTGTTGTACATACTCAACAGGAAAAAGTTTGATGTGAATGTCTCCCATGCTGGTGTGGATAATGGCACTATCTGAAACTCGTTTAGGTCCTTCAGCCTGAGTAGCTGCCATGACTTCTTCTTTAGATGGTTTCTCATTAAAAACATCTCGGTCAGAATCTGCACTTTTCGTATCTTCTGGTTCTCGTTTGGTAAACTAAAGAGGAAAGTAAAAAATGAGTGAATGAATTAAAGTTTTCATCTGATAAAAGTTTTATGAACAATAGAATTTCTAATGAAGTATTTGAGAAAAGTAAGAATTCACATCAGAATAAATCCTTATTTCAGGAATCACTTCCCATCACAGGATGTGTCAGGCAGTTTATTTTTACATTGTCTAATAAGAAAAGGATCCATGTAACATACTGAACACATTGATTCCAAAGGAATTTAATTCTTTTGGGCAGCAATTTTCTTGGGTACACATTTAATAATAACTGTTTCATTTATGGTAGCTCTTGACTTGACTTACGCCTTCTAGTAAGCCCTAACCTGCCACCTGTTGCTCATTGCATTATTTATATTGTTTGGATTTGAATCCCAGTTCTGCGACTTTGGGAACATGAATTCTTCTTCCCTTCCCTCATTCATATATGATAACAGTACCTACCTTGCAATGAAGGTAGTTGTGAAGATTAAATGAATGGATATTAAGTGCTTGGAGGACAGTGTCTAATCCATAGAGGGTACTATATACATATTAACAGTTGTTATTACTACTATGAGCAGGACCCAGTGTAGGTAGAATGAGGATTCACAAAGATGAACCAGTAATAGATCCTTAATTTTTTTTTTTTCAGAGTCTCACCTGACCTATCTAAACCCTAAAGCATGGGAGAAAGAATGAAAATTTTGAGTAAAGTTGTAGAAATCTCAGATTCTCAGGGTCTAGGGAGAACTGAGAAAAACCTTTCAGTTGTTAAAACTCTGGACTTCTTAAGGCCTGTTTTTTTAAGTAGAAATCCTCTCTCCTAAGCAACCTCTATCTGATGTCAACTTAATTATGGGAACGTAAAGCTAATGCCTCAGTCCCTATCCTGCCTAATGTCATTCCTTGATCGGCTTAGATTTCAAATAAACAAAGTTAGGATGCTATCACTTTAACATCCTATTCTCTAGTTTTCAAAGGAATAGCATGTCTGTTGTACTATTTGTTTATATGAATTTTTTAAAGTTATGATTTAGCTCATATATGGATTTGTAAAATACTTTTATTTATGATGTTGGATCTGAAAAAAGGGATACAATATTGATATATATGCATACCATTTTAGTTTTGCTTAAGAATATGCACTTCTAGTAAGATTCAAAGAAAATTCATAACAATATTAGCTGTATAGAGGTACAGTGAATGACTTATTTTTTCAAACTTCATAATGAATATATATACTTTAATCAACATACAAGTAAACGTAGAAGGGAAAAAATATAACTTGTTAAAGTTTTTTTAATAAAGTGGATGGAAAATTAGTATGTGTTTTTTGAGTGTATATGGAGAAGTATCTTTGTCTTTTTGTTTAACAACAGGGTCTTGCTCTGTCATCCAGGCTGAAGTGCAGTGGTGTGATTATAGTTCACTGCAACCTCACTCCTGGGTTCAGGAGATCCTACCACCTCATCCTCCTGCATGGCTGAGACCATATGTGCACACCACCATGCCTGGATAGCTTCTTAAATTTTTTGTAGAGATGAGGTCTTGCTTTGTTGCTTAGGCTGGTCTTGATGTCCTGGGCTCAAGTGATCTTCTTGCTTTGGCCTCCCAAAATACTGGGTTTACAAGGATGAGCCACCATTCCTGGCCAGTAATTATACTAATAAATTTTTAGTAATGATTTTGAAAGTTGTAAATTAAATTCTTAAAAGAATTTGCCCATTTAGGTTGGAAGGTTGGTTGGGGTAGGGAAACTGCTATTTCATACATGTATCAAATGCTATTAACTTTAGTAGCATTACAAGAGTTTACAATATTTTGGAGGGATGAATATACTACAATGTATTAGTCATTTTCCTAACTTTATGGATTTAACAGTGAAGAAGACATAGTGCCTGTATTTATGGATTTTATCTTCAGGAGAAGAGCACAATGTCAGAAACAAAAGAAATCAACAAATTACTGATATTCACACAAAAAGTATGACACAACATATGACAGGGGAAACATAAGCAGGCACACCTAACTTATACTTGATGTTAAAAAGGGCTTCCAGGCGGGGTGCAGTGGCTCATGCATGTAATCCCAGCACTTTGAGAGGCCAAGTCGGGCAGATCACCTGAGGTCAGGAGTTTGAGACCAGCCTGGCCAACATGGTGAAACCCTGCCTCTACTAAAAATAAAAAAATTGGCCAGGCGTGGTTGCGTGCGCTTGTAATCCCAGCTACGCAGAAGGCTGAGGCAGGAGAATCGCTGGAACCCAGGGAGGCAGAGACTGTAGTGAGCTGAGATTGTACCATGGCACTCCAGCCTGGGTGACAGAGCAAGACTCAAAAAACAAAAACAAAAACTTAACAACAAAACAAGGGCTTCCAAACTGAGACTTGAAGTATGAGTTAGGAGTTGGGGAGATGTGTGTTACTGGCAGAATGAATAGCCTGTGCAGAGGCCCAGAGTTTAAAAAAAAAAGAATACTCAGCTACTCTGAATAAGTTCAGTATGGTCTGTGTAGCAAATGAAGAAAGATAAAGCTACAGAAGTGAGGAAGGCCAGCCAGCATAGATAGCTGGGGAGTCATTAAAGGGTATTAAGCAGAAAAATAAGAGTCACATTGGGTTTGAAAAGTTCTCTGATTGCAATGTGAAGGATAGATAGAATGCAAGGGCAGAGGTCTCTATACTTTTTGATTTTTCTGATTGTATGAACAAATATTGTGCTACTCCTAGATGGTGCAGTAGTTTGATTTTAACTATCCCAGTCTTAGTTAACATGCAAAGTACTTTTAGTTCCCCAGAGGAAAAAAATATTCCATAGGAATATATAATTATATATAATATATAATTTCAATTAAGAACTTTAAGAATTCTTAAGAGTTTAAGAACTCTTAAAACAAAATAAAATAAAGTTCTATTTAAATAAAATCAAAAGGTAAAAAAGGAAATGCATTTAGAGAAGGAAGCTGTGCTAACTTGGGGGAGACAAATTCAAGAGTAAAAGCTGAAAAAATAAAAACAGAAGAAATTTTAAAATCTCACAGTGAAAACTATTTTGGATGCAATTATAACTATAACCACTAACTTCCTACCATCTTAAACAATACAAACAGTTGTGGAAGCGAGGTTGAAAAATTTCAAAACATGATGGAAAACAGTACAGAATTACTTAAAATCAACTCCTAGTTAAAAATTCTACAATATTAATGTAAGATGGCATTCTGGGCTGGGCGTGGCAGCTCATGACTGTAATCTCAGTACTTTGGGAGGCCGAGGTGGGTAGATCATGAGGTCAGGAGTTCAAGACCAGTCTGATTAACATAGTGAAACCCTGTCTCTACTATAAAAATACAAAAAATCAGCCGGGTGTGATGGTGTACACTTGTAATCCCAGCTACTTGGGAGGCTGAGGCAGGAGAATCGTGTGAACCCGGGAGGCAGAGGTTGCAGTGAGCCAAGATTGTGCCACTGCACTCCAGTCTAGGCGACAGTGTGAGACTCGGTCTCAAAAAAAAAAAAAGGTGGCATTCTGGTTGTTTAGAAAGTCTGCTGTTACTGCCAACATTCTCTTCAGTTGAAGGTACAAACAAAAAAAAGTCAAACCAAACTGGAAGGAACATTACGGTCTAATCTACTAGTACTTACACATACCATATAAAATCTATTCTTTTTGAATGATGTACAGATTATTGTTGGGTCAGCTTGAATATTCTGAAGAACGGGGTTTTCAGAAGCTTTCATCTCTATAGTAGTTGCAGCACGATGCTTTTTGGCTATCCCCTGGAACAAAGCCAATTGCATCACTCTAATATTTTCTTGTTTGCCTAAAATCCGCACACACCTAAAAATATAACAATGTTTTATAAAACAAAATCACCAAAGTTAATTCCAGTTATGACAACTTTACAGATAAAAGCTGGGAATCAACTGTTTGACCTATGTACAAAATAGTGAAAGATTTTTAAAAGTGTTTCTGTACTCCTCAAAAAGTATCAATTTAAACTGGTAGGCAGCTATAATTTTCAGGTTAAAGAGTAGAGATGAAGCCAAGCACGGTGGCTCACATCTATAATCCCAGCACGTTGGGAGGCCAAGGCAGGCAGATCACTTGAGGTCAGGAATTTGAGACCAGCCTGGCCAACATGGTGAAACCCCGTCTCCATTAAAAATACAAGAAATTACCCAGGCATGGTGGTAGGCACCTATAATCCCAGCTACTAGAGAGGCTGAGACACTTGCTTGAACTCAGGAGGTAGAGGTTGCAGTGAGCCGAGATTGTGCCACTGCATTCCAGCCTGGGTGACAGAGCAAGACTCCATATTGATAACAACAACAACAAAAGAAACGAGAATGAAAAGTCAGACTAGGCAAACGGCTCATAAAGGACTGTTATGCAAAATACAGAAAGAATTCTCTGTTTTTTAAACAATATAAAGAACTCTTAAAACACAATAAGAACACAAACAATTAAAAACTGTCCAAGGACCTTAACGTATACCTCATCAAAGAGATACATAGGTGGCAAATAAGCATATGAAAAGACACTACACCTCCTATGTTGGCCAGGGAAATCCACACTAAAACAAGATACCACTACACATCTATTAAAATGGCCCAAATCTGTAACGCTGACAATACCAAATGGTAGCGCAGTTGTGGAATGACAGAAACACTCATTCACTGCTGGTCGGAATGCAAAGAGTACAGCCACTTCAGAAGGCAGTTTGGCTATTTCTTAACAATTACAAACTAAACATTTTGTTACCATACGATTCAGCAATTGTGCTCCTTGGTATTTACCAAAAGGAGCTGAAACAAATGTCTACACAAACACTTACACAAAGATGTTCACAGCAGCTTTATACATAACTGCCAAAACTTGGAAGCAACCAAGATGTCTTTCAGTAGGTGAATGGATAAACTGTGGTACATGCAGACAATGGAATATTATTCAGTGCTAAAAATAAATGAGCTATCAAGCTGTGGAAAGGCATGGACGAACCTTAAATGCATATTACCAAAAGAAGCCAATCTAGACAGGCTGCTCACTGTATGATTCTAGCTATATAACATTCTGGAAGAGGCAAAACTATGAAGACGGTGAAAAGATAAGTGGTTGAACAGTCAGAGCAGAGGATTTTGAAGGCAGTAAAACTGTTCTGTATGATAATATAATGGTAGATACATGCCATTATACATTTCTCCAAACCTATAGAGTATACAACACCAAGAGTGAATCCTAATGTAAATAAACTATGGACTCCGGGTGATAATGATGTATCAGTGTAGGTTCATCAATGATAACAAATGTACCACTCGGTTGAGGGATGTTGATAATGGGGAGGCTATTCACGTGTTGGAGGGAAAGGGTATATGGGACATCTCTGTATCTTCCTCTTAATTTTGCTGTGAACCTAAAACTGTTCAAAAAAGTAGTCTATTAAAAACAACCATCATTCATTTATATAGTTTTAACCTATTCTTGATTCCATGTCTGGTAACTGTTCTTTAAGACTTCAAACATTTTGTATTGCCAAGAACTGCAATATAAATATGTTTATATGTGGAAATGTACAGCACATTTTCTTCTCCTTAAAATATTTTTTAAGTTCTGTTCATTTACATTCAGTGATAGTATCTGATTATAGCTTTTTTGTACTAAGACCAAATGGACTGTTTTCACAAAAAGGCTTATTGGGGTTTCATGCATTTCAACTTTTGATTTTATGTCTAGCAGGATGTAATGCTGAATTCTGTGGTTAAAATCTTTGGCAACATTTAACATGAACAGGCTAATTTAAATCAATAAGCAAAAGACAAACTTACTAAGAACAACAACAACTTGAAACTGCATATCTTCAATTCTTTTACAAACATGAGTGGAAACTTTTTACATAAGATTATAAACAACCAAGAGACCACAGAAAAATCCAGTCAAAACATTTGGTTAAGTTTAGACATTTGGGACCATTCCGCTTGTCTTGAAATAAACAATACTCCCATTGTTCCCATGATGGAGGAAATGGTCCCCCACAAACACATTTTTTAAAAATGTACCTCATATTGAAGCTTACCGGTTTGTCTCTACATTTATAACTTTAATGCCCAGCATTGTTCCATACAGCACGAAGTGTCCAGTTTCATCAAAAACTATATTAATTAATCTTACAGCATCAACCTTCTCCAACTCACGTTCTACAGCCATTCGTCGGCCAAATTCCATGTCTGGTAACTGCTGCCTCATCTGTTGCAGTTCAGTAAACATCTAGGAAATAAACCATTTAGTAACAAAAACTCTATATACATATACCTATATCAACCCATCTATCTATATATAAGAATTTAAATAGAAGCAGAATACACACTAAGAGCCACTAGCCATTTATACTTCTTGAGAGGGATTCTTAACAGTAGAAGCATGAAATAAACATTAGTAAGTCAAATCATTAAAAAATAGTATTTCAGGCTGGGCGTGGTGGCTCATGCCCATAATCCCAGCACTCTGGGAGGCCAAGGCAGGTGGATCACCTGAGTTCAGGAGTTTGAGACCAGCCTGGCCAACATGGTAAAACCCCATCTCTATTAAAAATACAAAAAAATTAGCCAAGTATGGTGGCGTGTGCCTAATTCCAGCTACCTGGGAGGCTGAGGCAGGAGAACTGCTTGAATCCAGGAGGTGGAGGCTGCAGTGAGCTGAAATTGCACCACCGTCCTCCAGCCTGGGTGACAGAGCGAGACTCCGTCTCAAAAAAAAAAAAAAAAAAAGTCATATTTCAAACTAAATGGTAATTAGTTCTGCTAATTTAAAACAAAACCCAGTTGGTTAATATAACTACTGCTTTCTCTACAGAAATAATACATCTGATGCCTTTTAAAAGCCACAGACTAGCACTTTCCAATGAAATATAACAGAAGCCACATATATAAATTGTCTAGTACTTATGTTAAACAAAGTCAAAAGAAACAGGTGACTTTCATTTAAATGTCTGATTAAACTCAATATATCCACAATATCATTTCAACATTTACAATATAAAAAATTGAGATAACTTACATTCTTTAAAAAAAAATTAAGTCTTTGAAATCTTGTACTTTACACTTTCAGCATATCTCAATTTGGCCTAGCGATCAAGGGCTCAAGACGCATGTGGCTAGTGACTACTAATAGTGGACAGTGCAGCTACAGACTATGAGGTCCTTGCGCAACGTCACATGCCTGACATATAACAAGCACTCAATTTTTGCTGAATGAATTCATCTCACTAATTTATAACAAATTCATGATATTTCAGAAAATGCTTCAAGTTATTTTGACACAGGGCAGTGAGATTACCATTAGGTACGTGTGATTTAGTAGACATGACTATTTCTATGAGTGTCCTTTATAGTTTGGAAATTTCGTTTACTTTTCTTTTGATATTACACCAATTTCAAGATAGGCATCACATCTGAATAACTAACTGTATTAACATACTATGAATCTTCCAAAAGATAATAATGATCTTTATATTGTTTTCTAGACATTCAGGGCATCAAACTGTAGCATTCAAAAATAGTTCTCCATTGCAGATGAAAATAAGCCAGATTTCTGTCCCATCTAATTCTATCCTTATTTCATCCTTACATCAACCAAAATCTTGTGTTTTCTAGATAAGCTTAGAACAATATACAAAACTCAAAAAGTCAAAATGAAGTATGTGTGTTAGGGTATAAGCATGAGGTCAAGGTCCTATAGAACTTAAAAAGCCTAGTTGTTAGGTTTCCTTGTCTCTAGTCTCAAAGACAGAGAGATTGATATGTATTACAGTGCTTATTCTTGTGCCAGGAATAGCCTAGGATGGTGGAATACATTTTGTAGGGAAGGGCTACTGATCATTTCTGTTGGTGAGAAGACTCAGTCTTTAAGACATAAAGTCTGTAGGTGGTCATCTGTCCATACGTAAGTATTTCATAAATATTATTCCACCTGGTAAGTCCCTGACCAGAATCTCTTTAGAGTGTTCTAGCCTTCACAGCAGGGCTTCTGTGATATGCAGCTGCACGGCCATATATAGTGACCCTGGTTACTAAATACTAAAAGATAAGTCGCACCATCCCATTCAATTTCTTTTCTGTTAAACTAGGATTCTGATTGTTTACAAACTGCCCTCCTCCATCCACCACCTCCTTGAGATTCCAGTCTTTTACTAGTCACTAGCACTGTAAATAATTTAACTGGTTTTTTTTTTTTTTTTTTTTTTGGCAAATTCTCATTCTGAATCTCCACTTCTGTCTTAAGTTATACTACTGACTTCTTGTCACCTCAGGCCAATCATTTAAACAAATGTTGAAGACAACAATGAACAAATAGAGTGGAGTGAGCAGCTCAGAGTATGTGTGTTAAGAGATTTATGTCCAGAGACCAGATTCTGAATATTTTGTTGCGTAAGGGATCTTGGAAGAGCTGCAAGTTAATAATAGTTTCAAAATTATATTTAAATTGCAAGTTATGAGCCACCACTAAATAAAGTATCATCAGTAAATGTTTCTCCTTAAACGCAGAGTAAAAAGCTATCTTCTCCCAACAAGAAAATTTGTCATGGGATAATGTGGCTGGCAAACAGATCTTCACATTTGTCTGGAATTATATTACTTCAGATAGACAGGCAACCAATTTATTACCACTTGCCACCAAATCAAGAGCGCCACTTGGAGGAATTGACAGAATTTATGAAGGGCTTACAGCAGGAAATCCAATGCAAATTGGTCACTGCCAAGGACAAGAGAATTGACACTGTCATACAATAAACATTGCTACAAAGGTTCAATCCAGAGGATTCAACACACCATTGGCAGTAAGAGAACTACCTCATGGCAATAGTTGCAACCACAGAAACCACTTAACTTTGCATCGATTAAAAACTCTTACTCCACAACTATATGCTGTAACAAATTCTTGTTAGCAGTCTAACAAGTGATGGCTAGAGTCACTCTTTCAAGATATTTGAGTAATTCTCTGCCAGGTACTGTTCTAACTGCTGGAGCTATAATCATGAGCTAAAACAGATCACACAGGGCTTGGTCTACTGAAGGTGATACCCATTAATCAAATAATATGACCATATCAAATGCTCTAAAAGAAAGAGTGATCTACAGTCACATTAAAAAAGACTCTGCTGGCTTGGCATGGTGGCTCACTCCTGTAATCCCAGCACTTTGGGAGGCCAAAGTGGGTGGATCATTTGAGGCCAGGAGTTCAATACCAGCCTGGCTAACATGGTGAAACCATCTCTACCTAAAAAATAAAAAAAAGCTGGGTGTGGTGGCATGCACCTATAGTCCCAGCTACTTGGGAAGCTGAAACAGAATTGCTTGAACCGGGAAGGTGGAGACTGCAGTGAGCCCGACTGTCCCACTGCACTTGAGTGAGACACTGTCTCAAAAAATAAATTAATTCATTAATTAAATAAATTTTTAAAAACTGCAAGACAGGATGAATAGTGAAAGCCCCCTGGTGAAAGTGACTCTTCATTTGAAATTTGAAGTACCAGTTCAATAGGTAATGGAGGAATACAAGGAGGAGGGAGGGCCTCATCCTAGGTGGAGGAAACAACTTATAAAAAGGTTCTGTGGTGGGAGGCATGTTCAAGAAATAAAAAGGAGGCCCAAATGGCTGAATAAGAGGCAAGGAGAAAGGTGACTTATGGCGTCACAACATAAGCCACAACTGTGATCTTGACTGTAAGAACAGAAGGAATTCACTGAAAAGTTCTAAGCAAAGGAATGAGATGAACAGCTATGTGCTTTTAAAAGATGGCCCTGGGTGCAGAGTGGGTATTAGGGAGAAGCCAGAATAAATACAGGTAGGAGGCCATGCAGTAAGTCAGGCAAAAGATCATGAACTATGGTTACTGACAGCTGTGCTGAAAAGAAATTGGTGAATTTAAATTACATTTAGAAAGCAAAATTGGCAGGACTCCAATGAATTATATAGAAGGGTAAAGAGTTGAGGATAACTCTTAGATTTCTGGTTTGTGCAACTACATGGATACTGGCACTATTCACAAAGACAGGAAAAGAAAGAGATAGCACCAGGTTTGCTTGCAATAGAAGCCTAGAGAAATAAATTTAGAAGTAGCCATATGGACAGGAGTGAATAAAGAGTGAGAAGATAAGGGGTCCTAGAATGACTTTTGAGGATCTTAAGAGGACAGCTTGCCAACAAAACAAAATTGTAAAAAACAAAACCACCACAAAAATAAGACAATAACTGACTTGAAAAATGCATATCATAAACCCCTAGAGAAGAAAGTTTCAAAGAGCAACAGTACAAGACAGAAACAGTTGAGTATCTTTAATATGCTAAGAAAAAAATAACTGTCAACCTAAATGTCTATGTATAGAAAAAAGATATTTCAAGAAACAGCATAAAATAAAGCATTTTTAGGAAAGTAAAGTATAATTAAATTTAAATTACACTTACGCTTAGTGATTCATCAAAGACTCTCATGAGTTTTCCAGTTAAAAACCTGAAAATTCTAACTTTTCTATCGGAACCAATAGTAGCTATTTTCTTCCCATCCGGTGAAAAACATATGCTACTTGGATAAGCCTTACACTTGGCAAATTCATATAAATCAGTGTCAGTTTTATATTCCCAGTTCACATTTTTGGGGAATTTATATTCATGAGGAGGCCCAGTCCAGTATTCAATCATCCCAGATTTGTCAGAAGACACTACTGCTTTGTAAACTGGGTTTAGTCGTATCTGAGTAAGAGGTGATGTATGGAGTTTGTCAAAAATATGAAGTGGCTGGTTATCTCCTCGGCCATCATAAATGAAAATTTTTCCTGTGCTCTTTTCAGAAGCAGCAACTGAAGAAATTGCATCCCCTGGGCAATAGATCCACTCACACTGTCCAGGAAAATAGCTAAAATAGTAAATAATTGAGAGGAAAAAAAAAAAGGTCAGCACAACAAGCAAGCATCCTTTCCTATCCCACTACCAAAAATGTCTTGGCCAGTGATTTAGACAGTTTTGGATTCCTTGCTCAAAAGCAGCAGAGATACAGAATGGGGAGGAACAGCTAAGAATAGTTACTCAATTTTTCTCTTTCTGACCTCATCAATATAATTCTGAGGATCTATCAAAATACAAGAAGAGAACTGCATATAGCAGCACATTTACTTCTCTTGGGTAGATAAGGAAACCTAATCAGATCTGAACCTTGAGATCTTTTGGGGCACTGCTTTTCGGATCTCTGTACAATAGTCTATGTACAACTTATTTTAAAATAGGTTAGCATGTAATAGTATATTTTATAGATCCTTTCTTGAAATATTTATGATCTTGAAATATTTGAAATCAAATCTTTTATTATGGCTATACTTCAAAGAAAAACACTGTCCTAAAACATTTCCATAACTAACTAAATCTTGATATTAAAACTCTAAGCTTTAAACATTCTACCTGATGAACAAGGCATAAAAGAACTGAGGCTGATTTAATCAATGTACTAAAACATTCAAAAAAAAATATGAATGTTGTTTCCTTCAAAGTAGTGATTCTGAGAAGTTACACTGTTATTCTAACCATGGTGCTGATGCTCAAAACCTTTTTGGACTTCCTCTTTAAGAAATTCTATCAAAGTGTGAAATACATTCTTCCAAGTATTCTAAAAGGGCAAAATGTTCAATATTTGTGAATGGAAAACTTTGAGGAAAAAAGCTGGGGAATAAGACAGATGATCAGGATCAGTAGCTCTGTACCATACTAAGCATAAATAATGAGACTGATTTCCTTTAGTGGCTCATAAAATCATAAACTGATTTTGAAGAAAATTCTAAGATTTGAAATTATCTGAATTATGGACATAATTTAGGCCACAGCTGGAATTTCTAGAGATAGGGTCTTCAGGAGGTTATTAAGGTTAATGAGCTCATAAGAGTCCGGGTGAGGCCCTAATCTGATAGGTTTGTGGCCTTTTAAGAAGAAAAAAAAAGTCTCCCTTTCCCTCTGACCTCTCCCTTCTCCCTCCTTCTTCCTCCAACCATGGGAGAATATAGGGAGAAGCAAGGAAGACAGTCCTCATCAAAAATCAAACCCTGACAGAACCTTGATCTTGGACTTTCCAGGCTCCAGAACTGTGAGAAAATAAATTTGTTATGTAAGTCACCTAGTCTCTCTCTCCCTCTCCCTCTCTCTCTCTCTCTCTCTCTCTCTCTCTATATATATATATATATATATATATACATATACTCTATATATATATATATATGTATATATATATATATATTTTTTTGTTATGGCATCCAAGCAGACTAAGGAAAGTCCCAAAGCTTTCTAACATGGTTATGACTTTCAAGCTGACATTCATTTAGATGTATATAAACTCAATATGTTATCTTAAAAAAGACATGCTTAAAACAAAGTATCAGTTTTAATACTGTACAATCTAACGATAGTTTTAGTATCAGTATATTCCAAAGTTTAAAATCACCAATAAATAGTGTCTATTCCAAAAATGTGAATAAGCCTTATAGGAATACAATTCTATATTACTAAAATAAGTATAGCAAGGAAGTTAACTGTAAGTACCAGTAATTATATATGACGGAGCCCCAGTGTTTACTAAGTAATGTTAATTTGTATATAAGAAACCTTTGTTATGATGCTGTTTAGAAATTTCTGTGATTGATAATAAACCATAGCAGACACTTCCAAACATTATAAGGATTCACTGTATCTAATTTTATCAATCAAAACCCAAAGGCACAATTTTTTCAGATATGGTAATATACAATTTAGAAATAACCTATTAAATGGTAAAGTTTGGTTTACAAATTATTTCAGTAAGTTAAAATATACTTTTTAAAAGACTCACCCAAGTTTCAGCATGTTGATCATGTCAAAGTTCACTACATCAAACACCTTCATTGCTTTATCATCACCCACAGAACAAAACAATGCTCCCTCAGAGCTAACTGCAATACTTTCAATAACTCCTATTTAAATAAATGAAATTAAAACATTCTAATAAATACCAATACAATAAATGTGCATGATTCAAACAAAAAAATTTTTTTTAATTTAAACTTTAATTAGTATAGTTTAGAAAAGAGCTACAAGAAAAAGAGGTGAAATTCTTACCCAGGTGACTACGAAAATGTTTAACAAATTCAATTCCCTCTTCTATTTTTTTCCAGAACTTGACATGTCCATCATGACTGGCAGTAATAATAAAATCTGTTCTGCATATATGAAATGTTAAAAGTTAATTTCTAAAACAGATCTATGAATCACTCAATATTCCCAAAGCAGTCATTCACTAAGAATCTGACTTGTGCAAAACAGGTTTCTTAAAAAAAAAAACCTTATTTTGAGCAGACCACTGTATTGCAGAACAGTGCAAATTTTGAAGCTCCTTTCTGGATATCAAAACAGTTACAGCTGCACTAATTTTAATCTCAAGAGCGAGGATCAGAATTGAACTAGAATTTAGCATTAAAATAAAAATCTCACTAGGAATCACTACATTTTGGATTCCTTATTGCTAAAATTACCCTATAGGCAGTCTTTTCACAAGCGTATGTACTTTGTCAGTGCTTGATAAATAAATCTAAACATACTACTTTCATATACAGCAAAATTCAACAAAAGTTTGTTTTATATCCTATACAAGATATTTTGGTTACTTAAGTATCAAGAAGATTTTTATACAGAAGAATCTCCCCTATTAGGTATATGAAAATAGAAATCATTTATAGAAACCCCTTGTATGTCAGGTACTTTGTACATATTGTCTTAGTTTTACAGCAACTTTTACTGCACATTTTTATCATCATTTTATAAGTAGGAAATAGTTTTAAAATGTTAAATGTACTTGCTTCAGGTCCATATAGCTAGGGGGTTTTCAATCTACCTAACCAGAAAACCTATATTCTCTTTATTACCCTCCATTGCCTTGGGTTAAAAAAAACAAAACAAAAATATTTGAGAAGAGAATAACAGCAGTGCTAGTATCTATATGCTGTTTTACTAAACTGACAACTTGAGACTAGAAAAGGCCAATATTTGGTCAGAATTATCCTATTTAACATGAAATATAAAGATTTTATTTAGATTTATATACGAAATTGAGTATGTCTTCAAAACATCAAGAATAGACTAATCTAAAACAGAGTAATCTACCTACTTCCCATACTCACTGCTAGTATCATCCAAGATACTATAGCTCATCCAGATTTCTATAACATTCTTGCCCTGTTTGAATCCATTCATCTTACCACAGCCAGGGTGGTCCTTTAATAAAAATAAATCTGACGTTACTCTACTGCTCACAGATTCAAAACCCATACAAGGAATAGAACGTCTTCTAGGATTTAGGATTTGCCTTTTAAATAGCAGCCTAATATACTATTTTACCTCTCTAAACTTCAGTTTCCTCATCTCTAAAATGAAGAGCATGTGCTAACTCACAAGATTATTCTTTTTTTTTTCTTTGAGAGTCTCGCTCTGTCGACCAGGCTGGAGCGCAGTAGCGCAATCTCGGCTCACTGCAACCTCCACCTCCCATGTTCAAGCAATTCTCTTGCCTCAGCCTCCCGAGTAGCTGGGACTACAGGCACAGGCCATGACGCCTGGCTAATTTTTTATATATTTTTAGTAGAGATTGGGTTTCATCGTGTTGCCCAGGCTGTTCTCAAACTCCTGAGCTCAGGTAATCCGCCCGCCTCAGCCTCCCAAAGTGCTGGGATTACAGGCATGAGCCACCGTGCCCAGCCAATTATTCTTATGACAAATAAGAAAATTTAGGAAAAAGCCTCAGCTTGACAGTTAAAAAAAGAAAAAGCCTTAGCACAGTACCTGGGACATGCTATGAGCTCAACAAACAGTAGAATACTACTACAGTTTGAGTATCCCTTAACCAAAATGCATCAGATCAGAAGTGTTTTGGATTTTGAGTTTTTCAGATTTTTGAATATTTACATTATACTTACTGGTTGAACATCCCTATTCAGAAAATCTCAAATGCACCAAAGAGCACTTCCTTTGAGCATTATGTCAGCACTCAAAAAGTACTGGATTTTGGAGCATTTTGGATTTGAGGTGCTCAACTTGTACTATTGTTACCCTTCTCCAAGATCCCACTCATCTGTTTTGAAGGTCCTTTGCTATTCCTAGGGTATCTTAGCCCACATTTTCTCCTCTAGTGCCAAAGAGACCAGGTACCAATTACTTGTATCTTAACTAATGTACTCTCTTCTTCAGAGAAGCTCATACACTACCTTGTTCATTCCCCTCTTGGCATTTATCTCCAAAGACATACACATAAACTAAGGGGTTCTTAGAGAATGTATTATTTGTAATATATAGGAAAGAACATGTAGGCCTTTATTTATTTTAGAATGTATGAAATTATAGAAATCTATAAAATATTAAAATTACCTCTATAAATCTACCTCAAAACTGAAGCTTTTTTTTTTTTAATAAACTTCTTAGAAAAAAGTAAAAAAGATGTGATAGACTTACTTTGTGCATACGACATGGGTGATAACATCTCTGTGCATGTAACTGCGCTCATACATGGATGCACTGGGGAGGTTATCAAGATAGACTCTTTCAAACTCTAAGACTGAAGAAAAAAAAGTAAAGTATAAAATCTATTTTTAACAAATGAACCAAATACTATTCTGTATTTTATTTGAAGTTGTCTACACTTCTTGGTATTTTCTTCGAGATTTTAATTTTTCTCAATTCACAAGTAATTATTTAAAAATCCAGTATGTTATGTCAGTTTTAACCTCTATTATTTCAGAGCACTGAATAGTACCATTTAGTCAGTTACATCAGGTTCCCAGATATTATATAACTGCTAACTGTCCCCAGGACTTAAGAACTGAGTGGTTCTGGCTTAATGTGAATGTTCTATTAAAAAAGAGAAAGAAAAAAAAAACAAAAAGCTTCATGAAAATATCACAAACATCTTCTTAACCACTGTAGATATAATTTAGTGCTAACTTAAATAAGAATCCAATGACCATCTGTAAGATGTCTCAGTTAATATTGAAAGCACTGATCCTCTTTGAAGTTATTGATACTGTGTTTGAAACATTTAAACATGATAAAATTCTTAGATTTTTACACCTGAGAACATCCTAGGGGCTATCCAGTTGAATGTATCTTAAATTTTTTCCAGGGGCATAACACCTGAAACAGTGGTAATCTGAGGAATGTCAGGAAATACTGATTTTACTATATGAGCTATCAACAATTTTATTAGCAAAAAAGAAGAAAGGGAGAAAGGGAATGAGAGAGGGAAGGAAAGAGGAAGGCAGAGAGGGAGGGAGGGAAGGAGAGAGGAATGAAGGAAAGGAAGAAAAGGAAGAGGGGAGGAATGGAATTATATGTATACCAAATAAAATAATGCAATGATGACCAAACGTGCCTAAAAATAGTTGCTAAATTAAACATGATGAGCTGTTTCAGGCTTGTGTTTGACAAACTACTTTTCCCTTCATTTTTAGGAACGGAATCCCCATTTATATATGGGCATATTGATATCCAGCTATAACAAGACCTTTCTCACTTTCCCCTGGAGGAAGACTTATGCTGAGTAAAAGTGGAAATGTTTTGTGACAGGAAGTCTTGAAAAAGTGTACCCTTCTTCCTTTCCACAATCCTACAGCGTGGAACTGGGATATGACTACTGTAATCTTAATAATCATTCAGGGAAATGAAGATGAGGGCTGTACCTTAGTTATGTTAGGGCAGAAAGCTGAAGAGAGCCTAGGAACTTCTGGAGCCTCCACACCAATCCTGGACTATCTCGGTACTTCTACACATAGAAGTACAGCTCTATCTTTTCAACATCATTGTTATTTTGGGTTTTTCTGTAATAGGTAGATGCATTTAATCGTATCTGACTCAGATTCCTTTCTCTGTGTGATAGTTCACTTGTGGACAAATATTAAAAACAAAATATGTCAAAATAGGTCACACGGGCATAAAGAAGAGTAAAACAAAGTTCCTGTCCTTAAGAGACAGTTTAAAGTTTAGTACCATATAATCATGTCTTTCTGAAAATATAAATGGCACTCCAATGTCCAAAAAACATGTTAAAGGGGTGACTCCATTTCTAGAAAGGTGAAATTGTTAAACACTTGTCCATTTGGACAAAATTTTAAATAATATTTTTGTAACGTTTCATGCATGTTTTTTAGTTTTGATTTTTTCTTCAAACTGAATACACTATTGGCTGTTTTAAAACAAACATCTGATTAAGAGTAAAGGTTTTCACATCTACTAATTTATATCTGTCTCAATTATATTAAATTTATAAGACAGACACTTGTAACACTAATATCAGCATTTCAGTATCTCTGGATTTTTACATTTCTCCCTACTTGTTTAATTAAAAAAGAACGTGCAAAAATATTCATATGCAACAAAATAGTGGAAGACTAGCAAAAATGCTTTAATATTCATTCATTAAATAAATACTTAGGGAGCACCGGCTATAGGCAAAGCACTGTATACCAAGCAATGGAACAAAAACGGCATGATCCTATACATGCTTACAGTCTTAGCAGTGGAGAGAAACATTAATCAATCACATGAATAAATATACAATTAGAAACTGTGGCAAGTGCTATATATAAAATGGTTGCTATGGAAACATTTAACAAGAGGACCAGGAAGTAAAAATGATAATGCACTGTAAGGGTATCAATATACAATGTTTAAAAAAAACCAGCTTCTTCAAAATTTGGATGCACAAAATTTGAAGGCTACCTGTAAATTCAGTATTGACAGATAACTACCTCAGAGTTATGATCAAAGTGCTTTAGAAATCCAGTCCAGACTGGAGAAGTCACAAGCTTCCCAGAGAATATGATAGCTACGTGCTAAAGGTTGGACAAAAGTCAGTTCAGGGGAAGGGGTGAGGGAAATTATTCCCGGTAGAAACACCGTATCTGGGTAGGTATCTAGAGGAAAAAGAGCACATGACCCATTCTCGAGTGATTTTAGAATGGGTGGAGTACAAAGTAAGGGGTTAGGAGAGGAGGATAATGGAAGATGCACTGAGAAGGTAAGGAGAGATCACATCATAAAGGGCTTTATATACCACGTGAGGGAGTTTGGGCTTTAATGAAAATTATGACAAATCACTGAAGAGTTTTAAGTAAGGTGAAGTGCTGAAGTAAGATTTGAGCTTAGACCACATTTTAAATGTGCTAAGTACTTAAGGAAAACATTTCCCAGAAAAACAAGACAAGAAAACTTAATCTACTGCTCTTCCCACTCCTTTCATGTGATAATTTGTGATTATTTCTCGTTAGTGGCACAATGCTTCAGCCCATCGTATCAAGAGCATGATTTCAAAAACACAGACTTAGGGTTTTGGATGAAAAAATAAATCTGTTATCTAGGAAGCTTAAGTCAACTTTCCTTAGATACGAAAATTTATTAGTGGAAGAGTCAGGGTTGAAATTATCTTTACCTGCTATGATTCGAAATAAGCACCGCCTTCCTCTCGCGCCCCAGCGACACATTAACGCGTTAACACCACTCCAGAACTAAAGCCTTTGAGAACCAGTACCCTTTTCCATACCTAAATAAGAGTTCGAAATTCCAACTTCATATGGCTGCTGTGGGGAGTAAATGACAGGAGCCAAGCACATTAAGTATAGACAAACGTTAGTTTTAGCGTCATAACAAATCAATGATCAAAAGTGTTAGATATTATCAAAAAGGCGCTGTACTACGCTCAAATCACTATTTCGGGAAGATATGCAAGTATGGAGTGGCCAGAAGTGAGAGGAAGGCGCTCTGTTCAGAGGACACAGAACTCCACACACCATCCCACTTCGCATCTGACTTGAACTTAGCCCTCCCACTCCGTGGACGCAGCACTCCAATTCGTCCTGTTACTACGTCTGCCGCTACCTTTCCTCTTCTTGGCCAGTGTTGCCTCCACAGGTAAAGGCCCAACCCAGCGCTCTTCGTTCTCCTCATCGTTCTCTTGGGACACCGCCACTGCCACTGCCAGCTCCCTTCCGCTGAGTTCTGTTTTTTCCGATTCCTCCGGGTCCCGGCGCCTTCTCCGTCTCTGCTGCGAGTCGCTACCACTTTCCGCCGCCATGTTGTTCGCATCGTCGGAAAAGGCGCGACACACTGCTCGGCTACCAATCCCAAAGCAGCGGCGCAGTCTTCTGTCAGCGTCCGAGCGAGTTTCGGGATTGGCTGGGGTGGGCAGGAGCAGATCCAATGGGCATGCAGCGCGCGCAGATGTCCCGGGCTAGCGGGCCGTGACTACGCAGGGCGGAGACGACCGGGACCTTGTGGCGCTGTGGTGGTAAGGAGCTGGGCCGGGGAGGGCGCCGTAAGGGTTGAAGCTTGTGGCGCTATGGCCCCGAAGGTGGAACCCTTAGCCAGCGAACTGGGTATCTGACTTCCAAGCCGGGCTTTGAGCCCCGTTCTCTGTTTCCCGCGCGCCAACGCCAGCTCCAGAACCTCGCCAATTTCTAGAGAAAGATGGAGGGGTGGAGAGGGTGGAGACAGAAGGAACAGGTTAACTTGCGGTTTCCTTTTGGATGCACTAGACACGTTTTCTCTCGTGACCTTTTTTTTTTCTCTCACACACTCTTTGAAGAAGGTGGCGAGTGCTTGTTGCTGTTTCTTAGGGTGGGGTGGAAAGCAGCTACTTCAAGTAACCAAATTGATCTAGGGCAGAACGGATCACCCTTGTGTCTTCTTCCTGGTATAGGAGTTCATCTCCTAACAATCATCTGAACTCTTTCTCCTCCTTCTCATCTGTCCTCTTCATTTTTAAAAAATTAGGTAAAAAATACCTAACATAAAATATATTAATCCCTTTTTAAAAGATGAACTAAATACACCTTGTCAAAATGACCTCCCTGAAACACTTTTTTTTAAAACCGCAAATACTTTTGCACCAACCTAATCCTCGTGGTAAATCTCTAATTTTGCCTTGAGATAGGCACCACGTACAAGGAAGGAACTGCCCCGATAGTAGGCACTTTATTTTATTTTGTTTCAAAGGTTCGCATTATTTGACCATTCCTTCTAGCAAGTCTCATTTCGTCTCTGCTCTCTGCTCTCATGAGACCACTTTCTTTTGTGTCTCACAAATTTCCCTTGTTCGTTCTTGCCTCCCAGTCTTACGTTTTTATGCTTGAAAGTGTTGTACTGGCCCGAGCATAGAAAGTCAACACCAAGACAAAAGTATGCCAAATTGCAGGGTCTTTATTGCCAGCGGCCACGGAGGACTCTCCAACCCATGGCCCCGAAAGGAGGGTGTCAAGACCCTTTATACCCGTAAAAATCACCTTGGGAATGAGGGTGAGGGGCGGGGGTGGGGTGAGGGGCTTCAGACATTCCGAGGGCTAGTGGATTCTGTAAATCACCTTCTGGGCGGAGATGAGGGTGAGGGGGCTCCGGACATTCCAGTGGATTCCTGAGCGAAGATGAGGGTGAGGGGCTCCGGGCATTCCGAGGGCCAGGGGACTTTTTGACATTCTGGTTGTTACTTAAGTGGTTCACAAAAGTCAAGATTAGCATTTGTTTACACATTGTCTGGGTAGGGTAGCGATTACAGTCCTTAATTACGTATTCACATTTGGGTTATAGAGAGCAGTTTCAACAGAAAGCTGAGGTATGGTTGAGGTATGCAGTTTTATGGGGCTTTTTACCATGTCATGAAAGCACCTCCACAGCAATCTAGCCTTCATGTTTACATCTTCTCATCTTTCTAAGACTGTAGCAATAATGAGGATGAAGATGAAAATAATAATAAAACAGTGTAGCTAGTTAACATTTATTAAGTATTATTATGGAGTAATTCCTTTCTTCCAGGTTTCTCTAACCTTCACTATCCTGAATTCTGATAGTGCTTGAAGACAGTGTTGTATACTTCACCATTTCATAGCTCTTCTAACTGCCTGAAATCATACCATATATTTAGTTATCCATTTATTTATATTGTTTCCCTGAGAATGGAAGCTCTATGAGTACAAAGGCTTTTTCACCTACACAGCTATAGCCAGTGTCTGATCAATGGCACACATTAACATATTTGTTGAATAAGTGAAACATTTTAGAATGATGTGGGTACTTTTTGCTTATTTCATGTATATTGATCTTTTCCCAATTAGTGGTGCGAGTTTCTTTAAGTATAGTATTATCACTAAATAAAGAGATGTTGTTGTTCTTCAATTAATGAATAAGTATTGTAGTCTTAACTGGGGACCTCAAAAAGTTAACTTGTTCCCTTTCCAGGAAGATAGGTTTAAAGACACAAAATGTAGGAAAGGGATAAACTGTTAAGTAAGTAAGTGCGTGTGCGTGTGTGTGTGTGTGTTTTAAATAAACAACTGAAATTTATTTCCCACAAGTCTAGAGGCTGGAGATTTAAGATCTGGGTGCCAGCATTTTCTGGTTCTATTGATGGCCCTCTTCCAAGTTGCATACAGCTCACATCTTGCATTCTCAAGTGGTAGAGAGCAAACTCTTAAATGTTTCTATATGTTTTTATTTTAACGCCACATTGAATTGCCAAGCCAGGTGATTTGTTGAGTGTCTATCCCCCACCCTCTGTCCCCACCACATGTGCAGAGTTCCGCATTACTTTTGCATATTGATAATGTATTTTAGTGGTCAGTAAACGAATATTTGTTTTGACTTTTTTGCTTACAAATTGGTAATGACTGATTTTGGCTTTGTGAACTTAAACTGTATCTTATGGGTATAGCAGGTGGGATGTTCAGCCTTCTAGTTGACGTTCAAATTGTTAATAGTAATGTTAATAGCTAAGACCAATAAAGCTCTTTATATGCTAGCTACAGTTCTAGTATATATACATATATATATATATATATATGCTCATTTAATTGTCATAACAACGCTAGGAAGTATGTAATATTATCTTCATTTTATAGGAGAGTAAATTGTGGTACAGAAAATTTAAGTGACTTGCCCAAGTCTCACAGCTTTTAAATATCAAAACTGGGATTTAAACCTATGTAGTCAGTTTGCAGAGTTCATACCTTCAAAGTTTCTTTTTTTTTCTAAGTAGTGTGGCAGTAAACATCATTGTGTAGACTTATGCGGACATATCTATATTTAGGATTATTCTTAGAAATAGAATTTCTGGGTCAAAATAAATGCATGTAAAATTTTGATGGATGTTATACAAAGTGGTTGGTCCACCAACAATGCAAGTCTCTTATTTCACATGCTTGCCAGTATTTCTTATCAAATTTTACATTAGTGCCAGTCTGAATGAAAATTAATGCTTGTTTGATTTGCATTTTCATAAATTGTATATGAGCTTATGAATGCACTTTTTCTATATTTAAAAGGTTTTGTTTTTTCTTTGAATTCCTCATTTGTGTCCTTTGCTTGTTTCTGTGGAATTGTTTTTGTTGTTTACCTTTTTATTGTAAAGTCAAATGCAGACACAAACCCACACAAAATAAATGTAAAGTTTATGAATTATTATGTCGTGAACACCCTTACCATCATGCTAGTCAAGAAATAAAGCTTTGATAATCATCTCAGAAATCTCTCCATTTGGCCCATCCCAGCCACAACCTTTCTCTCCCTTCCCTTCTTCCTCCAAAAGTAATTGATATCCTGACTTTTTTGGTAATCTCTTTTTTTTTTTTTTTTTTTTTTTTTTTTAGCTTTTTAATGGTGAGTTGTTTGGTTTCTTCTTATCAATTTATAGACACTCGTTACACATTAAGGAAATTAGGTCTTGGGTTGTCATATATGTTACAAGTATTTCTCCTAAGTTTTGGAGTTTTAAATTTTAACTTCGTTGATGAGATGTTGTCTATGCAGAATTTAAAAAAAATTTTATGTCAAGATTTTACTTAGTTTTGCTTAGAGAGGTGTTTCCTAATCTAAGATTTTAAAAGTTTCTGTTTTCTGCCTATTTTTTATGATCTCTATTTTGGATTTTTTGAGGGAGTGAGGAGTGATGTAAAGATTGAGGAATGAATTTAGACTTTTTTTTCCTCCCCAAATACCATTCAGTTTGTTAAAAAAAAAAAAAAAAAGGAAGATTTATATAAATTAAAAAATACATTTTAAAAAGCAGTATTATATGTAAAATATATATTTATTTGGGTTTTTTTTCTCCTTGCTTTGCATTGTCATCTCTGTCGTATGTCACGTGTCCATATGTATGTGAATCTAGAAAGTCAAGAAAAGCTTTGTATTGTGTTCCATTGCTCAGTTTGCCTACTTATATGCCAATTCTACATTGTCATAATAGTGTGTGTTACGGCCTCCCATCTTATTTTTTGTGAGGATCGTAGGCCAGTTTTGGCCCTTTGTGCTTCCATGTAAATTTTAGGATTTGCTTGTCAAGTCCCACAAAGAAACAATAACTTTCAGGATTTTGGTTAAGATTCTGTAGATAAACTTGGGGCAAATTTACATCTTTACAATTTGAGTCTTCCAGTGCATGAATATGACTGTATCTTTCTGTTTACTTAGCTCTGCTTTAGAACTTCTCTGTTAATGTTATTGATTAAGCAGAATAAAGTGCAAAAGTTACATATCAATAAAAATACTGAGGCGGAATGTTCTGGTTTGCATTTGATGGGGGGGTAGACATTCTCACCATTCTTTATTGTACTGTTTACCTCCTTAAAATTGCCCAATTTTGAATCTCTTTCTACCAGACCCCACCCCCTTGTCATTCTTTCCAGGAATCATCTAGCGAGATTGTTTTACTCATCCACATTCCTTGAAGATTTTTAGCTCCTGGCTCACTGTCACCCTTGACCTTCTCTCCCCTAGCGATTATGTTCTCTCTCTTGTCTTAGCTGCTTATTCCTATGGCCATTCTTTCACTTTGTCCCTGTCTACACCTGTGTTGCTACACTATAGAAGAAAACAAACAGCCATGCTCCAGTTTCACTTTAAACCCGACTACTAATCTCAGATGAGTCTGTAATGCTACTACTGAGTAATCCTATAACTTTATCTTCTCCCTTTTTTATATATATCTATTTTATACATCTCTTTTCCTGTGCTCTTAAACTTGCAGTTCTTTTTCCCCATCCTCATTCATAGCTGATGACCTTAGTTACCATTTTATTGAGAAAAAAGAATCCACATACAATTTCTACAGGTTCCTAGCAACACGTCTACTTACCTACCTGCATCTACACTCTTGATACTTTGATGACCCTTTCATTAAAATGGATGAATTGCATGTCCGTTTATCTTAAGCCAACCCCTCTTCTTATGTACTAGATCCCATTCTTTCTTCTCCCCTTTCTCTCTTATATTAGCAACATTTCCTTCTTTTACTGTACTATATAAAGATGCTGTATTTTCTCCCATCTTTTTTTTTTTTTAAAGTCTCTTTTAACCCTGTATCTCCCTCCAGCTAATAACCGTATTTCTCTCTTTCCTTTTAAAAAAATTGTGTGTGGGGTTTTTTTGAAGTAGGGTCTTGCTTTGTCACCCAGGCTGGAGTGCATTGGTGTTTTCATGGCTCACTGAAGCTTCAGTCTCCTGGGTTCACCAGGTTCAAGTGATCCTCCCACCGCAGTTCCTGAGTAGCTGGAACTACAGGTATGTGCCGCCATGCCTGGCTAGAGAAAAAATTCTTGAAAACATTTTATATTCTTAGTATATTTAATTCCTTGCCTTCCATTCTCTCTTGAATCCACTCCAATCAGGCTTTTACTCTCACTGTTCTTCTAAAACTACTCCTGTAAAGGTTACCCGTGGCCTTCATTTTTGTATGTTAACTCCAATAAAATTGTTGTGATAAATTATCCTAGAATGTAAAGGTGTAAAACAACTGTTTATTACGCACAAGGGTTTTGTGCATTAGAAATTCATACAGGACACAGCAGGGGTGGCTTCTCTGCTCCACTGTTTCTGGAGCCTTGACTAGAAGATCAAAGCCTACGGGCTTAATCATCAGAAATGATCATGTGTATTTCTGGCAGTTGATACTAGCTTTTGTCTGGGAACCTCAGTTCGTTTCCACATGGACTTCTCCATGTGATCTCTTCCTTTTGTGCTAGTTTGGGCTTTCTCATAACATGGTGGCTGAGTTGCAAGGGTGAGTGTTCCGAGAAAGAAAAAGCCAGAAGTTAGCTATATTGCCTTTTATGACTTAGTCTTGAAAGTCATGTGGTGTCATTTTCGTTGTATTCTGTTTCTAAAGACAGACACAAAGTCACAGTCAGTTTCAAGGGGAGGGGAAAAAGTCTCTGCCTCTTGATGGGGAATGCAACCTGAAATATTGCTGCGACTATTTTTAGAAAAAACAGTTTGCTCATCCATATTACTAAATAAATTGTCAGTTCTGTGTAACTTACTTGACTTGTCTCCACTATTTGACAGTTCATCATTCCTTCCTTGAATACATTCTTGGATTTTGGGATATCATGCGCTTAGTTTTCCTGTTAACTTACTGTGTGACCCTTTTCAGACTATTCCGTTTGTTCTTACTCATCTCAATATCTCCTGGTCTGAAGATCTTCCCATTCCTAGCTGTGCAGTCTTACCTTTCTCATTTCACCCAGCCTTACAACTGTAAGTACAGTCATGTATTACTTAACGGGGATATGTGTTGATAAATGCATTGTTAGACGATTTCATCATGTGAGCGAGCACAAACCTAGGTGGTATAACCTACTATATACCTAGTCTGAATAATGTAGGTAATTGTAATCGAATGGCATTTGTGTATTTAAACATTTCTAAATATAGAAAAGGTACAGTAAAAATGTGGTATGAAAGATAAAAAGTGGAACACCTGTGTAGGGCTTTTACCATGGATGTAGCTTACAGGACTAGAGTTTGCTCTACACGAGTCAGTGAGTAGTTAGAGAATGTGAAGGCCTAGGACATTACTGTACTTTACTGTAGACTTTGTAAATACTGTACAGTTAGGCTATACTAAATTTATTTTTTTAATTATTCAATGATAAATTAACCTTAGCTTGCTGTAACTTGCTTTATCCTTTTAATTTTTTTTAACTTTTCAACTCTTGTAATAACAGCTTAAAACACAAACATTATCTATACAACAATATTTTCTTTCTTTCCTTCTTTCTTTTCTTTTCCTTCCTTCCTTCCTTCCTTCCTTCCTTCCTTCCTTCCTTCCTTCCTTTCTTTCTTTCTTTCTTTCTTTCTTTCTTTCTTTCTTTCTTTCTTCTTTCTTTCTTTTTCTTTCTCTTTCTCTCTCTTTCTTTCCTTCCTTTCCCTCCCTCCCTCCCTCTCTCCCTCCCTCCCCCTTTCTTTTCTTCCTTCTTTTCTTCCTTTCCTTCCTTTCCTTCCATTCCTTCTTTCTTTTCTTTCTTCTTGACAGTTTGTCTCTGCCACCCAGGCAGTGGTGTGATCACAGCTCACTATAACCTTGAACTCCTGGGCTCAGGCGATCTGCCTGCCCCAGCCTCCTGAGCAGCTAGGGCTACAGGAGTGTGCCACCTCACCCAGCTGATTTTTAAATTTTTTGTAGAGATGGAGGTCTCGCTATGTTGCCAGGCTGTTCTGAAACTCCTGGACTCAAGTGATCCTACCACCTTGGCCTCCCAAAGTGTTGTGATTACAGGTGTGAATCATTGCACCTGGCATATTTTCTTTATGTCTTTTTTTTCTAGCCAATTTATTTTTATTTTTTACTTTTTAAACCTTTTTGTTAAGAATGAAGACACAAACACATTGCCCTAGGCCTAAGCAGGGTCAGGACCCTGAAGACATCAGTAGGCAATAGGAATTTTTCAGCTCCATTGGAACCACTGTTACATGTGCAGTCTATGACCACAATGTCATTCATTATGTAGTGATGTCATTATCTGTGTGATGATGGCTGTCAAATTTATACCTCTAGCTCAAAACCTTGAACTATAGAAATGTATATCTAATTGCTTATCAGCAGCTCCAATAATTGACACCTCAAATTTAGCATATCCTAAACTGAGTGTTTTTTTTTTTTCTCAATTTTTTTTTGTTGCATTTTAGGTTTTGGGGTACATGTGAAGAACATGCAAGATTGTTGCATAGGTACACGCATGGCAGTGTGATGTTCTGCCTTCCTCCCCATCACCTGTATCTGGCATTTCTCCCCATGCTATCTTTCCCCAACTCCCCACCCCCCGCTGTCCCTCCCCTATTTCCCCCCTACAGACCCCAGTATGTGATGCTCCCCTCCCTGTGTCGATGTGTTCTCATGGTTCAACACCCGCCTATGAGTGAGAACATGCGGTGTTTGATTTTGTGTTCTTGTGTCAGTTTTCTGAGAATGTTGGTTTCCAGGTTCATCCATGTCCCTACAAAGGACACGAACTCATCGTTTTTGATGGCTGCATAGTATTCCATGGTGTATATGTGCCACATTTTCCCTGTCCAGTCTATCATCGATGGGCATTTGGGTTGTTTCCAGGTCTTTGCTATTGTAAACAGTGCTGCAGTGAACATTCGTGTGCATGTGTCCTTATAGTAGAACGATTTATAATCCTTTGGATATACCCAGTAATGGGATTGCTGGGTCAAATGGAATTTCTATTTCTAGGTCCTTGAGGAATCGCTGCACTGTCTTCCACAGTGGTTGAACTAATTTACACTCCTACCAACAGTGTAAAAGTGTTCCTATTTCTCTACATCCTCTCCAACATCTGTCGTCTCCAGATTTTTTAATGATGGCCATTCTAACTGGCGTGAGGTGGTATCTCAATGTTGTTTTGATTTGCATTTCTCTAATGACCAGTGATGATGAGCATTTTTTCATATGTTGGCCTCATGTATGTCTTCTTTTGCAAAGTGTCTGTTCATGTCCTTTGCCCACGTTTGAATGGGCTTGTTTGCTTTTTTCTTGTAAATCTGTTTTAGTTCTTTGTAGATTCTGGATATCAGCCCTTTGTCAGATGGGTAGATTGCAAAAATTTTTTCCCATTCTGTTGGTTGCTGATTCACTCTAATGACTGTTTCTTTTGCTGTGCAGAAGCTGTGGAGTTTGATTAGGTCCCATTTGTCTATTTTGGCTTTTGTTGCCAATGCTTTTGGTGTTTGGTCATGAAGTCCTTGCCTATGCCTATGTCCTGAATGGTTTTGCCTAGATTTTCTTCTAGGGTTTTTATGGTGTTAGGTTTTATGTTTAAGTCTTTAATCCATCTGGAGTTAATTTTAGTGTAAGGTGTCAGGAAGGGGTCCAGTTTCTGCTTTCTGTACATGGCTAGCCAGTTTTCCCAACACCATTTATTAAACAGGGACTCCTTTCCCCATTGCTTGTTTTTGTCAGGTTTGTCAAAGATTGAATGGTTGTAGATGTGTGGTGTTGCCTCCGAGGCCTCTGTTCTGTTCCATTGGTTTATATCTCTGTTTTGGTACCAGTACCATGCTGTTTTGATTACTGTAGCCTTGTAGTATAGCTAAACTGAGCTTTTAATCTCTTCTCCCATGTTTGCCAAATCTATTTCTTTTACCATCTTTCTCACCTCAGTAACTGGCAGCTTAATAATTCACTTCCCTCTTTGATAGTCCATATACATGCTGTTAAGAAATTCTGTTGGCTCCATCTTGAAAATATATTCAGAATTGGATATTCTGTGCTGCTTCTAGCAATATTATCCTGGTCTACATCTTCCTTGGGTTATTGCAGTAGCTTTCTAACTGATTTTCCTGCTTCTATCCTTACTGCCTGTAGTTAACCAGAGTTGTACTGTTAAAATGTAATTTAAATGATATTATTCCTCTGTTTAAAACTAATTGCTTATCACCTCAGAGTCCTTAAAGTAGCCTACAAAGCCCACGTGATCTCATCCCTATTGTCTCTGTGACCTCATATTCTACTGTGTCTTACTTAATCTGCCCGAGTCACACTAGCTGCTTTACTACTGTAGAAACATGGCATTCATATTCCTGCCTCAAGGCTTTTGCGCTTGCAGTTCCCTCTGCCTGGACCATCTGTCCCTGTTCATTCCTGTACCTCATTTCTTTATCTCCTTCATGTCTTCTCACTCAGTTGTCAATTTCTCAGTAACCTTATATGACCACATTATTTAAAATTACATTGCCCTTGCCCTAGCATTCCCTATGTTTCTTCTCTGTCTTTTCTTCAAATCATTTGATATACTGTAGTATATATGTATATGTTTTATTTTTTGTTTTATTGTCTGTTTTCCTTAATTAGAATAAGGTTTACAGTAGAAGGGATTTTTGTCTATTTTGTTCACTGCTATATTCTTAGCCCCTAGATGAGTATCTGGCTGATAATAAGTGTTCAACAAATACTGCTGAATGAATAAATATTTTTTGCTTTAGTTTTTCTTGTTATAAGGCTAGAACATCACAAAGCACATATCAATGAATCAGCAAGATCTAGATCCAGATAGTACTACAGATGTGGGAGATGTTACAAATACTGAAGAAGAACTTATTAGAGAATGTGAAGAAATGTGGAAAGATATGGAAGAAGTAAGTATCCAAAGATAGAAGTGATGGTTAATATAAGATTTAAATCAATTTCAATAATAGACAGACTCAGGAAAAAAATGATTGTGCTAGTTCCCAAAAGCCATTATGTATGATAAATATTTATATAGCTTTTAGACCTATAAGCATTTTTTCAAGAAACTTTATGCTAGATGAGCTATAGAAAGAAAACTGATGGCAATCCCTGACTCCAAGGAGATTACCATCTTATGGAAACAACAGCCATTGTACTATGTTGTAGTACAATATTAGACATATTATGTAAGTACAAAGACTATACTTACAAGGAGTACTAAAGGTGAAGGGGTCAAGGATAGATGTCTAAAAGAGTGAATTACTGATTTTATTTCTAAAGGATAATTAGGAGTTAGCCTGTAAAAAGTAGGAAAGGTATATAAAGCATAAAGAAGAAAATGTGTAAAAGCTGACAGAGTTGACAGAACACTAAATAGAATATTATGGATAATGTAAATTAGGAAAAGGACTTCTGGGGTAAGACTGGAGAAGTAATCAGGGGCCAGAAAATAAAGGATTTTGTTGAGTGTGTACTATGGGGAGCCACTAAAGGATTATAAGTATGAAAGTGATATGATCAGATATGTAGTTTGAGAAAATTTCTCTGGTGTCTTTGAAGAAAATGGAATGCAGAAGATTAATACTGCAGGTAGAAAGAGCATTTAGGAAGCTCTAGTAATAGTCCTGGTAAAAAGTAAGAAAGTCCTAAGTATTGTCATTGCAAATAGAAGAGTGGGGTCAAGAGATAAGTAGGTAGGACTTAGAAGGACTTAGAAGTTAATTGATGTGCAATGGGAGGGATATATCGTTAGTATCAGATTCCTGGTTTGGGCCATTGGGTGTTTGATGGGATTATTTCCCCAAATAGAGAATATAGAAATAGGAAAAACATATAATTATGAGTAAAAAATGAGTTAATTTAGATAATGTTGTTTGAAATGTATGTATCTGAGTTGGTAAGCTAGAACTGTGTTTGGTATACTAGAGTATGTTGCTGAAAATTTGTTGTACTTAAAGCAAACTTGTCCAACCGTGGCCCAGGATGGCCTTGAGTGTGGCCCAACACAAATTCATAAACTTTCTTAAAGCATTAAGGATTTTTTTTTTTTTTTTTTTAAGCTCATCAGCTATTGTTAGTGTTAGTGTATTTTATGTGTGGCCCAAGATAATTCTTCTTCCAGTATAGCCCAGGGAAGCCAAAAGATAGGGCACAGATATTTTTAGCATCCTATCCTTCCCAGTACAGTTTCAGAATTGGGTAAATTAGTATCAAAAGATAGAAGTGATAGTTATTATAAGAAAATGTGTAAAAGCTGAGAGAGTTGACAGAACACTAAATAGAATATTAGGGATAATGTAAATTAGGAAAAGGACTTCTGGGATAAGACTGGAGAAGTAATCAGAGGCCAGAACATAAAGGATTTTGTTGAATGTGTACTGTGGGGAGCTACTGAAGGATTATAAGTATGGAAGTGACATTCCTGGAAAAAGCTAGTATAAAATAAGAGAGTATTTTCTTTATTATTTGTTTTTTAACAGCTATACATACATTTAACAACAGAGTAAATTGCTTGTTGGTTGCCGCCATTATGCTACCTTGTTAAAAATAGAGCAAAGAACAGCCTGGCCAACATGGCAAAACCCCATCTTTAACAAAAATCCAAAAAAATTACCAAGTTGGTCTTGGTGGTGTGCTCCTATGATACCAGGTTTTTCTCTTTTCCTAAAACTATTTTCAACATAAATACTTGGTACTTAATGTATTTGCAAGCTAATTTTTATAAGCCCCTACCATTTTTTATTCAGATTTTTTTTTAGTAGTACAGAAGTTTGGATTTTAAAATAACCTAAAATTTTTATAGAGAAATGCTGTACTACAAATGAGCAGAAATAGAATTTACTCATATTTTTATCTCATAAATAATCACGAACAGTTTTGGACTTTCTTAATAGCAAAGAAACACTGTCTCCTGAAGGCTTTATTTTCTTAGGATTTCTTAGAAAAGTATCTTATTATTTTTCTATAGTGCTTTCCCTCTTGTTCTCTTATCTCCCACTTTCCAGTTTTCTGGCTTATGATTCATTTTAGCTATCAGCTGTGTTTTTTTTTTTTTTTCTCTTCATTCTAGTATCTCTTTTTCCTTGTGATGTATTCACCTTTGGACTTGTGTCGCTGCCTTAATCCTCTTAGAAAGTCCGAAATTTCAATAAACTCTTCTCTATTAGATGTTTGTGCTTTGGAAGAGTGTTATATTGGCCTGGTACAAAAGGGAAGGGGAAGGGAATTGTCTATGAGTTACAGAGTGTGACTTGCTTTTTTTTTTACTTTTTAAATCAAGTGTCAGAATAAATTGTCACTTACTGGAACTGAAACACTCACTGATTTAAATGCTAAGGTATGCATCTTCTTTTTCTTCCTAAAAATAGGTAAGTGGCATTCATTGTATTTTGGAAAGTAAGTATATGTGTCTATATTTTTCTCAAGTTTAATAGCTTTGTTAATACTTGTATGTTTAATCATTTGGAAAACTTCTTCTTTCTGCTGTAAGAGTTGGGATAATATTCTAAAAAGTTTCTAGAACAAGCTGTCATAAAATAAGAGAGTATTTTCTTTTTTATTTATTTTTATTTATTTTTTTTAGATGGAGTCCCAGTCACTCAGGCTGGAGTGCAATGGCATGATCTCGGCTCACTGCAATCTCCACCACCCTGGTTCAAGCAATTCCCCTGCCTCAGCCTCCCAAGTAGCTGGGATTATAGGTGCTTGGCACCACACCCAGCTATTTTTGTTGCATTTTTAGTAGAGATGGGGTTTCACCATGTTGGTCAGGCTGGTCCCGAACTGCTGACCTCGTGATCCACCCACCTCAGCCTCCCAAAGTGCTGGGATTACAGGCGAGAGCCACCTTGCCCAGCAGAGAGTATTTTCTTTATTATTTGTCTTTTAACAGTGATACATATGTTTAACAACTGAGTAAATTGCTTATTGGTTGCTGTTATGCTACCTTGTTAAAATTAGAACAAAGAGCAGCCTGGCCAACATGGCAAAACCCTGTCTTTAACGAAAATCCAAAAAAATTCGCTGGTCTTGGTGGTGTGCTTCTATGATCCCAGCTACTCAGGAGGCTGAGGTATGAGAATCACTTGAACCTAGGAGGCAGAGGCTGCAATAAGCTGAGATTTGTGCCACTACACTCCAACGCGAGAGGAAAAGCAAGACCATCTCAAAAATATATATATACATTAGAACAAAGACTGCTAACTTTGTGTTAGGTATAATAGTCACAGATGTTTTACTATCTGTGTCAAATCTGAATTGATATTACTCTTGGCTTAAAAAAAGGATTAAGATATCTATTTTAATAATCAAGACTTAATGGAATTGGCTTCGGAGTGGATCCGTGGAACAGATTAAGAATTAAAATGAAGTTGCCTCTTGAACAACGTGAGAGTTAGGGATGCCAACCCTCTAAGTATTAAAGTGTTAAGAATGTTTATATTTCCATCTATGAGCAGTCCACAGAAAATGACTTTGTTTTCTTCTTTTATAGCTATCATTATTAATTATGCAAGTAAAATGTTTAACTGCTGAACTCAGTCAATGGCAGAAAAAAACACCTGAAAGTAAGATTCTTATTTTTAGATTTGAATTTTTTATAAACAAATTAATGGCAAATTAATTTAATGATTGTAAGAAAAATTACAAGATCCAGTTGGCCTTCTTGAGATTGCCCAAATTTCATTGATACTGGGAAGTCACTCAATTTTTTTTTCTATGAATTATTTTCTGCTTCTTTTATTATTATTGATAAACATATCTTACATTAGATTATAATAAGCTTGATTATGGAGACATTATAGCCATTATATTATCCTCATAGATGCTGCCTTATGCTCACTAGAAATGGTTAATTGTTCCCTTTTTTTTTGTCTAATACAGAGTCTCACTCTGTTTCCCAGGCCGGAATGCCGTGGCATGGTCATGGCTCATTGCAGCCTCGATCTCCTGGGTTCAAATGATCCTCCCACCTCAGCCTCCTGAGTAGCTAGGACTACAGGTGTGCACCACCATGCCTGGTTAATTTTTGTATTTTTTTGTAGAGATGGGGTTTTACCACGTTACACAGGCTAGTCTTGAACTTCTGGGCCCAAGGGATCCTCCTTCCTTGGCCTCCCAACATGTCAGGATTACAGACGTTTCTTAATTAATGAAACGTCTTAATTAATTGTTTCTTAATTAATGAAATTTACCTAGTGGAAGAGAAAAATGGTAAAGTTATTTTATTTTAGATACTTACACAAAATGGCCACATAGTTTGTATGATGTCTTCTGTCTTGTCCAACTGGTGCCAACTATATTTTTGTCTTCAGTTAGAAAATAGAAGACAGCATAAAAATGTATAGTTGTGATACTCAACTAGTATATCTTTTTTTTTTATTATTATGAAAGCTTAAGTTTATGCAAAATATGTCTATACAGGCACACTTCATTTTATTGTGCTTCACTTTATTGCACTTTGCAGATACTGTATGTTTAACAAATTCAGTTTGTGGTGAGCCTGTGTCACATTTTGGTAATCTCACAATATTTCAGACTCAAGTTATTATTACATCTTTTCGGGGGATCTGTGATCAGTGGTCGTTGAGCTTACTATTTTAATTGTTTTGAGGAACCACAAGCTGTACCTATGTAAGACAGTAAATTTAATCAATAAATGTGGGTATTCTGACTGCTCCACTGACCAATTGTTTCCCCGTCACTCTCCCTCTCCTTGGCCCTCCCTTTTCCTTAAGACACAGGAATATTGAAATTAGGCCAATTAATAACCCTCCAATTGTTTCTGAGTTTTTTTTTTTAAAGACAGAGTCTCGCTGTGTCACCGAGGGTGGAGTGCATTGGCGCAATCTTGGCTCATTACAACCTCCACCTCCCAGATTCAAGCAATTCTTCTGCCTCAGCCTCCCAGATAGCTGGGATTAGAGACATGTGCCACCATGCTTGGCTAACTTTGTATTTTTAGTAGAGATGGGGTTTCACAATCTTGGCCAGGCTGGTTTTGAACACCTGACTTCGTGATCCACCTTCGTTGGCCTTCCAAAGTTCTGGGATTATAGGTGTGAACCACTGCACCCAGCCTGTTTCTGAGTTTTTACGTGAAAAGAAGAGTTGTACATCTTTATCTTTAAATCAAAAACTAGAAATGATTAAGCTTCATGAGGAAGCCATGTCAGAAGCCAAGATAGGTCAAAAGCTAGGCCTCTGGTGCCAGGTAGCCAAGTTGTGAATGGAAAGGAAAAAAAATTTTTTTTGAGTTAGTGTCTTGCTCTGTTGTCAGGCTGGAGTGCAGTGGTGCGATCTTGGCTCACTGCAGTCTTCACCTCGCAGGTTCAAGCAGTTCTCCTGCCTCAGCCTCCAGAGTAGCTGGGATTACAGGAGCGTGTCACTACACCCAGCTAAGTTTTGTATTTTTTTTTTGGTAGAGACAAGGCTTCACCATGTTGAACTCCTGACCATGTGATCTCCCCTCCTCTGCCTCCCAAAGTGCAGGAAAAATTTTTAAAGGAAATTAAAAGTGTTGTTCTAGCCAACAGACAAATTATGAGAAAACAGAACAGCCTTATTGCTGATACAGAGGTCTGCTTAGATGATCAGACCAGCCACATCATCACCTAAGCCAAAACCTAATCCATAACAAAGCCCTAACTCTTTTCAGTTCTATGAAGGCTAAGAGAGGTGAGGAAGCTGCAGAAGAAAAGTGTGAAGCTAGCAGAGGTTGCTTCATGAGGTTTATGGAAAGAAGTCATTTCCATAACATAAAAGTGCAAGGGAGTACTAATGCAGAAGCTGCAACAAGTCATCGAAAAGATCTAGCTAAGATACTTGAAGGTGGCTTTGCTAAACAGCAAATTTTCAGTGTAGACAAAACAGCCTTCTATTGTAAGAAGATGCCAGCTAGGACTCTCATAGCAAGAGAGAAGTCTATGCTTTGCTCCAAAGCTTCAAAAGGACAGGTTGACTCGTTTTAGGGCTAATGCAGCTGGTAACCCTGAGTTAAAACCAGTGCTCATTTATCATTCCAACAATCCTAGGACCTGTAAAAATTATACTAAATCTACTCTACCTGTGTTTTGTAAATGGAACAATAAAGCCTGGATGACAGTACACCTGTTTACTAATCCAGCATGGTTTACTGAATAGTTTAAGCCCACTGTTGAGACCTGTCACTCAGGAAAAAAAAAAAAGGATTCCTTTCAAAATGTTACTGCTCCTATCTCATCACTCAAGAGCTCTGATGACGCTGTACAAGGAAATTTATGTTTTCATGTTTGTTGATTCAACATCTGTCCTGCAGCCCAGGGACCAAGAAGCCATCTCAACTGAAGTCTTATTATTTAAGAAATACACTTTGTAAGGCTGTAGCTGCCATAAGTCCTCTGATGGATCTGGGCAAAGTACATTGAAAACCTGGAAAGTCTTCACCATTCTAGATGCATAAGAACATGCATGATTTATGGGAGGTCAGAATACCAACATTAACAGGAGTGTGCACGAGGTTGGTTCTAACCCTCATGGATTACTTCCAAGTAACTACAAATGTGGTAGAAGTATCAAGAAAACTAGAATTAAAAGTAGAGTCTGAAGATGTGACTGAATCGCTGCAATCCCTTGATAAAACTTGAACAGATGTAGAGTTGCTTCCCATGGATGAGTAAAAAAAAAGTGGTTTCTTGAGATGGAATCTAGTCCCAGTGAAGATGTTTTGAACATGGTTGAAACGACAACAACAGATTTAGAATATTACATAAACTTTGTTGGTAAGGCAGTGTCACGGTTTGAGAGGAGTGACTAATTTTGAAAGAAGTTCTGCTGTGAGTAAAATGCTATCAAACAGCATCTCACGCTACTGAGAAATCTTTTTGTGAAAGGAAGAGTCAGTCTGCGTGGCAAACTTCATTGTTGTCTTATTTTAAGAAATGGCCACAGCCACTCCAGCCTTCAGCAACCACTATCCTCATCAGCCATCAACCATCAGCACTGAGACAAGAGCTTACACCAGAAAAAATTACAGCTCATCTAAGGCTGAGATTAGGCATCTCACAGTTAGCATTTTTTAGTGATAAGTTTTTTTCCTTTTAAATAAGGTATATACATTTTTAGAAATAATGCTAATGCATAGTTTATTATAGACTGCAGCATAATGTAAATAAAACTTTTGTGTGTACTGGGAAAACAAAAAAATTGTGTGACTCACTTTGTTATGATACTTGCTTTAGTGTGGTGGTCTAGAACCAAACTTAGACTATCCCCAAAGCGTCCCTGCATATTTGGAATGCACCCTCTTTTTCTATATGTCTCCCTGCTGCTTTCTTCACCTGCTGTTTCCTTTAACTGTCCTCCATCTCATGCTTCCCTTCTTAGTCTCCTTTTTAGGCTTATTATTCTGTATCCCAATTATTGAAATTCCCCAAGGAGCAGTTGTTTTCTCCTTATTCTCTTCCTAGACAATTTTATCTGTAATTTGCTTTAATTACTGTATTCATGCCAATATCAGCCGTTTTTCCACATCATTACTACTGCCTGTTAGTCATTAATTTGCGAATTTCTGATAGATGTGTAGTATTATACAATTGTGATTTTAATTTGCCCTCAACTGTGTGTCTTATTGCCTTTTCAGCAGCATAGTTCGCATCTCAGAAGCTGCTCAGACTCAATTTTTTTTTTTTGACAGTCTTATTTTGTCACCCAGGCTGGAATACAGTGGCACAATCTTGGCTCACTGCAACCTCCACCTTCCAGGTTCAAGCAATTCTCCTGTCTCAGCCTCCCAAGTAGTTGGGATTACAGGTGCTTGCCACCATGCATGGCTAATTTTTGTATTTGTTGTAGAGATGGGGTTTTGCCATGTTGGCCAGGCTGGTCTTGAACTCCTGACCTCAAATGATCCACCCAAGTCCACTTCCCAAAGTGTTGGGATTACAGGTGTGAGCCATGGTGCCCAGCCTCAAATATTAAAATGTTCATGTTCTATAAGCTATACCAGAATTATATCTTCTGCTCCTGTTTTTTTTTTTTTTTTTTTTTTTTTGTCTGTTTTGTTTTTGAGACAGAGTTTCGCTCTTGTTGCCCAGGCTGGAGTGCAATGGTGCAATCTTGGCACACCACAACCTATACTTCCTGGTTTCAAGCGATTCTCTTCTGCTCCTGTTTTTATGTGTTATGTAAAAGGACAGATTGACTTGCAATAAGGGCTAATGCAGCTGGTGACCCTGAGTTAAACCAATGCTCATTTATCATTCCAGCAATCCTAGGGCCCGTAAGAATTATACTAAATCTAATCTGCCTGTGTTTTGTAAATGGAACAATAATAATAACTTCCATGTGTTCATGTTCTTCAGAGGACCCTATATGCTATACCAGCATTATATCTTCTCCAGTTTTTATCTATCTATGATAGTAATTTCCATATTAGTTTACTAGGGCTATCATAACAAACTACTATGGACTTGGTGTCTCAAATAACAAAAATTAATTTTCTCACAATTCTAGAAGATACATGTTAAAGATCAAGGTGTCAGTAAGGCTGGCTTCTTCTGAGGCCTCTTCCCCTGGCTTGTAGATGTTCGTCTTCTTTCTTTGTCTTCACGTGGTCTCCCCTCTGTGTCCTAATCTCTTATAAGGACACCAGTGTTACTGGATTAAGGCCAACCATAATGACCTAATTTTAACTTAATTACTTTTTGAAATACCCAATTCCAAATACAGTAATATTCAAAGGTATTGGGGATTAGGATTTCAACATATAAATTTGGAGATGAGGCCACAAATCAACCAATAACAACTTGCAGATCTATATATTTAAACCAGACTTCTCTGCAATATCAGACTCTAATATCTTTGTATCTCCTAGGCATCTTTTCCAAAATATTTTATAGACACCTCAGATTCATGAATTGACCTTTTATGTTTCCTCACTCATTGAATGGTGTATTTGATCAAGTGTATTTGATCAGCTACCAATTTAAGAGTCCTCTTAGATTCTTTTAAATTTTTTGCATATAGCACATTTGTTAAAATTAGAACAGCTGGGCATGATAGCTCACTCCTGTAATCGCAGCATTTTGGGAAGCTGAGGTGGGTGGATCACCTGAGGTCAGGAGTTCGAGACCAGCCTGGCCAACATGGTAAAACCCCGTCTCTACTAAAAATGCAAAAATTAGCCGGGCATGGTGGTACGTGCCTGTAATCCCAGCTACTTGGAAGCCTGAGGCAGGAGACTGTCCTGAACCCAGGACGCAGAGGTTGCAGTGAGCCGAGATTGCTCCATTATACTTCAGCCCGGGCAACAAGAAAGAAACTCCGTCTTGTGGGGCGGGGGTGGGGGGAACAAAAAAACAGAAAAACAAAAACATTAGAACTAAAACATATAGCTAGTTACTAAATATTGAGTCCTGCAGCCACAGATTTGCTTTGGGTTTTCATCACCAGTCCATTAGATTGTTATAATTGACTTTTTAATCTCTTGACCACAGTAGGTTTTCCCCATCTCCTCAATTATAGACTTTTCAAACTTAAAAGTTTCAAAAAATACATAGTTAACTGCAGTAAACTCAGAGACCAGATTCTACTTATCAACATTTTCTCAATCTTGTTTTAGGCTTTTTGGAGTGGCTTTATATAATACACATTCATTATCTCACAATTTATGTTGGTCAGGAGTCTGAGGACATTTACTGTCTCACGGTTTCTGCAGGTAGGAGTCTGGACACAGCTTAACTGGGTCCTCTGCCTAGGGATTTCATGGCTACAATGATAGATTCTCCTCAAAGGCCTGAGGAAGGATCCATTTCCAAGCTTGCTGAAGTTGTTAGCAGAATTTATTTTTTTGTGGCTGTAGGATTTATGGTAGCTTTAGTCCATGTTTTTATTCTTTCTATTGTTTGTTCTTCCTTTCTTCTAAAATTCCTTTTTTATTATTTCTGTTTCAAGAACTCTCTTGAGCTGTTCTTTTTAGAGTTGGTCTGCTGGCGACATTTTCTTAGTTTTTCTTTATCTGAGAATTTCTTGATTTATCTTTCATTCCTGAAGGATATTTTCACTGGATATGCAATTCAGGGTTGTTTTCTTTTAGCACTTAAAAATGTGCCACTTCTCTCTGCCTCTGTTGGTGCTGATGAGAAATATGCTATTGTTCTGATGGGCTTAGTTTTATAGAGAAGGCATTGATTTTTTTTTTTTTTTTCTGGCTGCTTTGGGGATTTTTTTCTTTGTCTTCAGCTTTTAGAAAATTAATTGTGATGTATCTTGGCATGGATTTCTTTGGCTTTATCTTATTTAGGAGTCACTCACATTCTTGAATATGTAGATTTATGTCTTTTGTAGAATTTGAGAACTTTTTAGCTAACATTTGATACATTTTTTCAGCAACTCTCCCCACCTTCTTTCTCCTCTCTTGGAATTCCAATAGCATGAATATTAGACCTTTTGTTATAGTTAGCCAAGTCCCTGAGGTTTTGTTTAGTTTAAAAAATTTTTTTGATCATGGTAAAATATAAAATTTACAATTTTAACCATTTTTAAGTATATAGTTCATAGTAGTGTTAAGTATATTCACATTTTTGTGCAGTGTTATCTTCAGAACTTTTTCATCTTGGAAATCTGAAACTCTATACACATTAAACAGCATCTCCTTTTCCATCTGCTCTCAGCCCTGGCGACCTCAATTCTACTTTCTATTAATTTAATTGGTTTAGATACCTCATATAATGGAATCATAGAGTATTTGTGTTTTTGTGGCGGGGTTATTTTACTTAGTGTAATGTCCTCATAGTTCTTCCATGTTGTAGCACATGTCAGAATTTCCTTCTCTTTTTAAGGCTAAATAGTATTCGTTGTATGTATATACCACAGTTTGTTTATCCATTCATCTGTCAATGGAAACTTGGGTTGCTTTTATCATTTCGTTACTGTGAATGTGAGTGCTGCTATGGACATGGATGTGCAGTTATCTCTTTGAGGCCCTGCTTTCAATTCTTTTGGATGTCTACCAGAAATAAAATTAGTAGATCATATGATAGTTCTATTTTAAGTTTTTTGAGGAACCACCATATTATTTTCCATAATGGTTGTACCATTTTACAATCCCACCAACAGTGCACATGGTTTCAGTTTCTCTATATCCTTACCAACACTTGTTACTTTCTGCCTTTTTGATAATAGCTGTCTACTATGGCCTAAATATGTCCCCTAAAATTCATGTTAAGACTTAATCACCAGTATGATAATGTTAAAAGGTGAGGTCTTTAGGATGTGATTAGTGACCTTATAATAGAAGTTGAAGGTAATGTCTAGTCTTTTTTCTGTTTTGCCTTCCGCTATGTGAGGACACAGCAAGATGACACCATCTTGGAAGCAAAGAGCAAGCCCTTACCAGGCACTGAATAATTTAGTAGCTTTGAAATAATTTACTAGCTGCCTACAACCAGTTCTAATACAAACCTATCTATGAAGCACATGTAGAAAGTTCTTTCCTGTTAGAGGCTTTCTAGATACCTTTGAAAAGATACCTTTGAAAGTTTTTAGTAGCATATCATTTGTGAAATTTGGAATAACACTTCATTAGGATAGGAAAATTTCTAGCATAAGGATTGAACACATTAAAATTTGCTATACAAAATTACACATTTGTTTCTACTCATCAGGCTGGCAAAAATTTTAGAAGAGTTTGTAATATTTCTTGCTGGTTTTTTTTTTCATAGCTCATGGGAATGTCTTTAGAAAGCTGACATTCTCTATTCAGATTCAAAGTACATGTTTCATTCTCCGAAATTTCATTTCTGGAAATCTGTTCTATAGAAATTAGAATACCAGTACATAAAAACATATATAAAAGTATGCTTCCTGCATCCTTGTTTGTTGTGGCTAAAAACTAGACACAAAGTCTAAAATCAAAGTGTTCAATAGGACAATCACTCAATATATTATGGTATATTCATTTTGGAATATTACGTAGCCATTAAAAGTTACAAATTAGACCTATATAGGTCTAGGTTTCCCTGTGGGTTTTATTGACTGAAAATAAGATGAATGTGATATGTATGATATGATCCCATTCTTGTAAAACCAGTGATGATGAAAATAGCCCTTTTAAGTATATGTATATGTATATGTGTACATAGGATAGATGACTATAGGGAAAGTATTTGAGGAACACACTATAGATAATTAGCTTTGCTTTTGAGGGCTTGAAGAACAAAAGATAAGAAAAAGGCACACAACGGTACACAAATAGGATCAGATTTATCTAAAATTATATATAGTTGGCTATATGTGCAAAGATATTAAATAAAAATAAAAACTGCACACATTTCATAAAAAGTTGTGTATTGTCGAAGCAGGTGGATCACTTGAGGTCACGAGTTCGAGACTGGCCTGACCAAGATGACAAAACTGTCATCTCTACTAAAAATACAAAAATTATCCAGGCATAGTGGTGCAGGCCGGTAATCCCAGCTACTCAGGAGGCTGAGGCACAAGAACTGCTTGAACCAGGGAGGCAGAGGTTACAGTGAGCCAAATTGCACCATTGCACTGAAGCCTGGGTGACAGAGGGAAACTCTGTCTTGAGGGAAAAAAAAGTTGTATATTATGTAAATGGAGAGGGAAAGAGTTGTTTTAGAAAACTGCAAAATGCTTGATTTTTGGGAATTAAATACATGTGTAATTTTGTTTTGTTTTGTTTTGTTTTGCTTTTGTAGTAATTCCTTTGACTGAAGATGTTCTCTTAACATTAGGAAAAGAAGAGGTAAGTCACTCAATAAATTTGTAGTAACCCCAAATAATTTCCAACTGTTTAAAATAAGTTCATGACATAAGAAATAGGATGAAACCACTCTAAAACCATATTAAATTTTCCACTTTTTAAAAGTTATGTTTTATTGAACAGAATATTTTTTAAAGATTTGAAATTTTTTTTTTTTTTTTTTTTTGAGAAAGTCTCACTCTGTTGCCCCGGCTAGAGTACAGTGGTGACATCCTGGCTCACTGTGACCTCTGCCTCCCGAGGTCAAGGGATTCTTCTGCCTCAGCCTCCTCAGTAGCGTAGATGGGATTACATCTACATCTAAATCTACTCTCCACTACCATACCCAGCTAATTTTTGTATTTTTAATACAAAATGCTGGCCGGGCTGGTCTTGAACTCCTGACCTCATGATCCACCCACCTCAGCCCCCCAAAGTGCTGGTATCACAGGACTGAGCCACGGCACCCAGCCTAAAGATTTGAATTTTGAACTCGATTTTTGCATCCGAATTGCTGAAGTTAGTAGTTATATGTAAACCTTAATCTCCTATCTAGTTTTTAGTTGATTCAACTTCATAACAAAAGCAAAATATTAAACATAGCTTAATGACCCCATACATGCATCTCTTTCTGCTACGGACTAAATATTTGTGTCTCCCAAAATCCATACTTTGAAATTTATTCCCTATTTGTGATGGTATTAGGAGGTGGGACCTTTGGGAGGTGGGACCTTTGGGAGGTGATTATGCCCTGAGTGTGGGGCCTTCATAAATGAAATTTATGCCCTTATAAATGTCTGAAGAGATCAGTGTCCTCGCCTTCCATCATGTGAGGACACAACTAGAAGGTACTGTCTATGAAGAAGTGGGTCCTCAGTAGACATTGAATCTTGGACTTCTAGCTGCCAGAATTGTGAGAAATTTCTAGTTTTTATAAACTGCCCAGTCTGTGGTATTTTGTTATAGGAGACTGAATGGACTATGGCAGAAAGTTGGTACTGAGAAGTAGAGGTGGTACTATAACAAACACCAAAAAATGTGGAAGCACCTTTGGAACTGCGTAATCAGTAGTAGGTGGAAGAATTTTGAAATGCATACAAAGGCCCACTTGCTGTGAGCAGACTTTTAAAGGCAATTCTGGTGGGAACTGAGGTTAAAAGAGAGCTGTAGAGAAAGCCTCAATTTTCTTAGAGAATATCTGAATAGTTCTGAAAAGAATATTGGTGGAAATATGCACAGTAATGGCCATTTTGATGGATGTCACATGTAAAGAAAGAACATGTTTCTAAGGATAGAGAGGAAACAATCAGTGTTTTTCCTAGTCTCTCTCACCACTCAATACAGCGTAGCACCTCTGGTTACCAAAATGTGTGGGGAATTCTTCTCACCAGCAACCAGTTGTTTGGCAGATCCTACAGAAGATTATTCTCACCCAGACACCAGTTTGGTGTCTTCTTAATTCATTTCAGTTCTGACACTATCTACTTGGAGGCAGCATCAGATCCCACAGGTTGGACACTCAGTCCCACATGCCTGACTTCAGTTTCAGATATCAGTTGCCAGTAATAGATTGCCACCTGTATTCTGACTGACTGGCTATAAATCAGGGGTTTCCGTGATCCCTTCCTCTTCAGGTTTGATTAATTTGCCAGAGCAGCTCACAGAGCTCAGAGATAAACTTACTTTGATTTACTTATTTGTTATAAGGGATATTACAGAGGATACATGGCTGGGCATGGTGGCTCACACCTGTAATCCCAGCACTTTGGTAAGCTGAAGAGGATGGATCACTTGAGCCTAGGAGTTCAAGACCATTCTGTGCAATATAGCAAAAGCCTGTCCCTACAAAAAAATACAAAAATCTTCTGTGTGTAGTGGTGTGTGCCTATAGTCTCAGATACTCAGGAGGCTGCGGTGGGAGGATTGTTGGAGCCTGGTAGGTCCAGCTGCTGTGAGCCATGATTGCGCCACTGCCTTCCAGCCTGGGCAACAGAATGAGACCCTGTCTCACAAACAATAAGAACAAAAAAGACATTATAGAGGATACAGATGAACAGCCAAATGGAAGAGATGCGTAGGGCAAGTCATGGTGGAAGGAGCATGGAGCTTCCATGCCATCTCTGGACGTGGTACTCTGTGGCAACTTGCCAGTGTTCAGCTATCTAGAAGCTACCCAAACCCAGTCCTTTTGGGGTTTTATGGAAGGCTTCATTATGTAGGTAGGATTAATTAAGTCATTCGCCATTGGTGACCAGCTTAACTCTCAGTTCTTCTTTCCTCCCCAGAGTTTTGAGGGGTGGTGCAGAAAGTCCTACCCTCCATCCTGATGTTACTGAGGGGCTGCCAGCCATCAGTCAACTCATGGGTATAAAAAGATACCACATCACACCTGTAATCCTAGAACTTTGGGAGGCCCAGGTGGGTGGATCCATGAGGTCAGAAAATCAAGACCATCCTGGCTAACATGGTGAAACCCCATCTCTACTAAAAATACAAAAAAATTAGCTGGGTGTGGTGATATGCACATGTAATCCCAGCTACTTGGGAGGCTGAGGGAGAAGAATTGCTTCAACCTGGGAGGTGGAGGTTGCAGTGAGCCAAGATCATGCCACTGCACTCCAGCCTGGGCGACAAAGTGAGACTCCATCTCCAAAAACAAAAAAAGATACCACAATAGAGACAAAGACTAAGTATGTATTTTACAATATCACAATGTTATTGCATTGCACAGTGGAGTAAATGCCATTCTTATTATAAAGAGGCAAAGAACTTGGCTGAATTGTATTCCTGCCCTAGTGTTTTGTGAAAGATAGAACTTAAAAAGAATGAAGTTGAATCTTTGACTGAGGAATTATTTAAGAAAAGTGTTGAAGATATGGCTTGGCGTCTCTTGACTGTATATAGCAAAACATGGGAAGAGAAAAATGACTTAAAGGAATTGCTAATCAAAAATGAAGCAGAATTTAAATGTTTGAAAAATTGTAAGCCTATCCATATTGTAAAGAATGAGAAAGGCTGTTTGGGAACAAACTTAAAGAGTGTGGCCAAATGACCATCTGTTAAGGAGATTAGTCAACAGTCTCAACTGAAGCCAGTAGCTATTCAAGACAAAGAAAGAATCCAGTGTAAGGGCCACAGGAGTCTGTGGGACCTTGGGCCACACTGCCCAGCATGAACTCAGGTTGTGGGCTGTGTTCATCAGTTGCCTCAGGTGTAGCTTCAGTGTGTCTAGGTGTGGCAGAGGCTACAGTGATCATCCTTCTGGAGGGTTAGATTTCCTCCAAGGTGCAGAATGCACAAACCAGGGGTAATGGCAGGCTCTACCTGGGTTTTAAAGGAAGGAGCCTTCTGGTAGAGCCCTGAGCTTATGATCTCAGCCCAGGAGAACCATGGTGCCCAGACACAGTGATACTGCGAATGAAGAATAGACAACTGATGGAGGGCCATTTTGCCAAGCTGTAGGAACAAGGATGCTCAGAGCTGTGGGGCCCCAAATCCCTGCTCAGCAAAGCAGCAGGGGCAAGACCACCTTCACCCCAGTGGGCCTGACAGACAGCATTGAGCTAAAGATTATTCTTGGGCCTTAAGATTTAATGTTGTGTTGGGAGTTTATTGGGACATGTTACCCCTTACTTCTCTATTTCTTCCTTTTGGAATGGGAATGTCTGCCCTATATCCCTCCCACCATTGTATTTTTGAAGCACATAATGTGTTTGTTTTCACAGGTTCATAGCTGGAGATCAGTTTGCTTCAAAATCTATTGTACTATGAATTTCACTCATTTAATTTAAATCATATTTAGATGAGATGTTAGACTTCAAACTTTTGAGTTGATGCTAGAATAAGTTAATGCTTATTTATGGCTATCGGGATGGAATGAATGTATTTTGCATGTGAGGAAGACTTGAAATTTTGGAAGACATGAATTTTCTAGTTTTAAATATGAAAATCCAGAAAAAGGATCATTTCTAAAAACTTAAATGTCAATAATGTCATGTTTTCAAAGTGTCAGTTCATGTGGTTAAAATATAGAAGAGAAGATAGAAGCAAACAAAACATTTTAAGTTGTAGAGCATGGAAAGAGATAAGTATTTATGTGTCTAGAGACAGAAATAGTGATGAAAAAAGTTTGCCCTCACAGAAATGAAGAAAGCCTTGGGATTTGAAGGAAACTGTTACTCTAAAACTCAGAGTTCAAGTGTGGAATTAAAATAAAAGCTTTTTCTTTAAAGTCAGAATATAGATGGTTAAATCTTAGCTTACTGTTACTAACTTCTTACCCATATACCTGAAAACTGGAAGTAAATGATTTGGAGACATTAAACTAGTGAGGCTCTTAACTCAGGATTACCAGGTTGGTTAGTGGGGGTGGTGTGCAGATCAAAAGTCAGAAAGATTAAGTCAACATTTTTATTCTTCATGATGTACTGTTAGTTCCCTCCGTTGCTCTGTCTGCAGACTTCCCTAGTGTTTTGTGAAAGATAAAGCTTACGTGGAATGAAGTTGAATCTTTGGCTGAGGAGATAATTTAAGCGAAGTGTCGAAGGTATGTCTAGGCTTCTCTTGACTGTGTATAATAAAAGTGAGAAGAGAAAAGTGACTTACATTGCTAATCAAAGAAGAACATAGCCATAGACAGGAAATAAAATATTTTCAAAGAAAATATTTCTAAATAATAATATATGGAGTCCCCTGTAAAAAAAGCAGAGTGACCACATGTCAGAAAGCCTTATTCATAAACATAGCGTTCTTAGTAAGTTTTTGACCTTTAAATATGAATGTCTAGACAAGTATTATAGACATCTATAAAATGCCTCCAAATTGAAAGACAGAAGTTCAAAACAACTGAGCAGATGGGCCTCAACGAGACACAATTCAGGGAACCAACAAGAATTTAAAGAAATAATATCATCCAGAGGATAAGAAAAAATTTTGATTACACAAAATAGCAGTGCTAGTTTTTAAAGCAGGACTACTTTATACCCTCTAGGATGACTATAATT